GTGCGCTAAGATTCATAATTGGCTGAAACTACCGTACCCACCACTGCACCCTGTATTCACTAACTGGTCATCATTAACTTCATGTAGACTTGTTCACTGGTACATTTTCATCTTTAAATCACTTCTTGGTCTGTTGCCTTCATACAGCTCCTCCTACATGTCACTGCGTGAGTGCAGCTACAGCGTGCGCTCTCAGGACATTATTACCTGCAGTGTTCCCACAGTGAGGACTGAACTAGGCAAAAGGGTCTTCTCCTGCTCCACTCCCGTTTCCTGGAATATCTTGCAAAAAGATCTGAACCTTGACCTCTCTAAGTGGTTTCAAACATCTGCTAAGTTCATGGCAAAAACCAACGCGGACATGTTCCTGTTTTTAGTATTCTGGTATTATACATCGCTTTACAATTTAGCTGTTTTTTGTTTAGTTTATTTAATACCATTGTCTTTCATTTTTCTTTAATTTATTCTTTTCAATTTACACGCTTTCTTTTATGATTGTCTATTGTTGTCTTTGTTGTCTATTGTCATCATTCCTTGTTAAAAAAAAAAAAAAACAGGTCTCGCTTGTAAATGAGTCCCCTGAGGATCAATGAGACTAACCTGTATAAATAAAGGTTGAACGAATGGTCCATCCTCCAACATTCTGCACTGTATAACAGGGTAGACAGTACACAGCTCTGATACAGATTAGTTTTCATACTGTATTGCTGAGACATCCAAACTTGTTGGTTGTCTCCTTTCTGTGGGGTTCATGTTGTCGCTGTGTCAAAAGATATAGGTGGTAGTTTATTATAAATTCTCTGTAGGTGTGAGCCTGTCTCTGTGTTAGCCCTGCGTTGTCTTACCTCTTATTCACTGTCAGCTGGGATGAGCTCCAGCCCTCGGGCCTTCTCTGGCAGACACAGCTAATGAAAAGTGACAGAATAATGGGAGTGCAGAAAAGATAATCAAGGTGTAAATATGACACAAAAGCTATTTTTGATCAAGACGCCTACAATCTCTTTGGCAGAGTTAACATTTTTACTGCTGCTGCTCCTGGCATATTTTATACTCTGTCTTTAGTGACAGGTGATTGCTGTATAACATCTAGGGTTTAGGATGCGGTGTAATCTTGGCATGGAGAGTTTGTGAAATTAATCCAACAATTATATAACCGTTCATTTTCATGTACTTTGCATGTTCTTATTGTTTCTTTCTTTAAGTGCCAGCTTCACTGGATGTCCATGGCTGCGTCACTCTGATCATACATGCCTGCAGAGAAACTGCGGGTATTCCCTAGGCTATTGAAATTAAGTCCCGCAGGTTTATGCTCCTTCTTGTCTACTGTGGTCCTAAAAGGCAGCTGGAGAGCAGGCTTTTTGTTGTTGTGACTCCATGAAGGTGAAATAAGCAACTAAATTTTGCCAGAGCAAAGGTTTTCCTCTTTTTCTTTGAGTACCTTTTGAACAGTTCTGAGGGGATCTCTTCTCCTGATACCAGTAGCACTCCAATCATCCTCTTACGTTTTAAGTATTTACTTACTTATATCCTCTACTTGATCTTTTCATGTTTAGCACTTCAACCATATCACAGTATTTTTTTCTTCCTGTTTTAAGTTACTGTAATAAAGCTTAAAACTGTTCCTTAATTTGGTACCATTTAAAAAAAGACTGTTCCTATATATGATTTGTAAAAGCTTTAACTGGGTTATTAATTAGTTTGGAAAAGGATAAATGAAAGTAGTATTTATTTAAGGAATGCTTGTTGCCCATCGCCTTGCACGCCAAGTTTTTAAACAAAATTCTCATGTAATCTGTTAGCGCTGAATATTGTCTGTACTGGGGATCAATTTCAGCTAAGACCACGCTAAACTTAAATTTACTAAACTAAAGCCATTTTTGCGATTGTTAATGTTACTTGTGTCAGCCATCTTGAACTAAGTCAATTTTAAAATGAAATAATTTGTAGATGCACATCTAATAAATGATTTTTGAGCATTCCATTAAAATCTGTCATGTATTTCATGAAAAACGTTGTGTCAAATGAACACACAAAGCAATTACAATATTGGACATATAATTGGGGTTGATTATGATTGTAATATTGTGCCCCAAGATATATTCTGTTGTGAATTGGTGCTGAATATATATACACACTGACCTAAATGAGGACAGACAAAATAATAATAATAATAATAATAATAAACAGACAGTACAGAGCAGGTTCTGCAGATATCTCGCCTTGCAAATTCATTTTAGGATAAACATGTCATCTTTGATATTGATGTAATGAACTGCAGAGCACTAATTAATTTTGATACTCACAAAGGGCATCTGTTGTTTATCAGTGAAACTTTAAACCAATTTAAAACCAGTTTAAAATAATCAGCAGAAGGAGCTTTTTTAATGAGTTGCTCTGAGCCCACACATTGAAAACCAGGAATGCAACTGTCGCTCAAGTTTCAGACTTTATTACACAACTTAAAATGATAAGAGCAGAAATCCCAAATAAAGAATCATGAAATAGGGCATTTAACCCTCAAAATTATGATGAATAATTGAGATGAATGTGAATAATGACACAAAATGAAATTTTTTTAGATTTGTTTTAGACAACTGGCATTAGTACAGGTAGTGAAACCAAATGAAAACACTCTTTAGGCTCAGTGAACACAATAATGATTCAAGTCAATGGTCAAGACAAGAAAATACTTAATCTAAATAATATAGATGGATGATAGAGTTTATAAACCAAATATTATTGGAATAATTTAGTTTAAGTACAAAATTTGGCAAAATAACAAATTAAAAAGGAAGCTGGAACAAGCTAGTGGGATATTAAGAAGAAAAAATAATCAAAGATTTAACAACCAGGCACCAAATTAAAGTCAAAGCCAAGCACTAATATGCTCTTATCAGGGGGACTGTCACTAAGATAAACAACTGTGTTCCTTCTTAAAGGTATGGAGTCACTGATTTTGTAATTTCAGTCATAACGCTGTGCAAAGTTCTTGATAATCTCAGTAGAACTTGAAGAGTGTGGAGCTCAGAGGTATGGTGTTACAACTGTTTACCTGAGTGAGCACACAATGGTGGCAACCCAGCCTTTAACTGCTGGTCTGATAGACCGTGGGTCCTCAGAAAAGATGAGTCGACCAGTGAGACATTGGAGGCAGAATTAAATCGAGTTGGAGTTAAAGCCACCTCCCAACAAGCTGATGAAGGACTACAGGAACTTTGTTGATTTGGAAAGGAGGCGTGATGCTTCAAAATGTTGATTGGAGCAGTACAGGTACATCTCAAAAATTAGAATATTGCGAAAAAGATTTTTTGTCAATGATTTCAGAAAGTGAAACTCGTATATTACAAAAATTCATTATGCATGAAGTGAAATATGTCATTATTTCTTGTAATTTTGGTGGTTACAAATAATGAAAAAGCAAAATTCAGTGTCTGTGAAATATGTTTAAACTCAAATTAGCATGACCAAGCTGTCTGAAGCCCCATCCACACGGAAACACTGTCTCTCCAAAACAATCCTAATTTCTTGTTTTGAAAACTATCCTTGTAAACACAGCACACATATACAATTATCCAAATTCTGTGATAACTATGCCAGACCTGTATGTGGCGCTCAAGCATTTCCACAAAATGTACACCAAAAACAAAGAAGATATGGAACATGCGCTCCAAACTGTAAATACAAGAAGATTGATGGCGAATAAAATATAAAAAATGAATCCTTTTTATGGACTGATGATGAAGTGGAAACTCTCTTTTGTCACATTAAACTATTGACTGGGAGTCATGTAGATCCAAATCCATGGGTTTAATGGACAATTTCAGGGACAGTATTCAGTGAGAGGAGTTTTACGATAATGTTTGAAGGGTTCAGGGTGAGTGTGGATCTCTGGAAATTAATACCATTTCCTTGGTGTTTGAAATGCATACTTGATTTATTGTTGACGGTTCAATAAAGTGATGAAAATCATTTTGATCTTAGATTATTTTGTGTAATGAAAGTGAAGGAGGGGAGACAGAATTGACTATTAATAAAAAAGTATTTCACTGACAGTATTTTCTTATCTTTGATATATATATATATTTTAAAGATCAAAGAAATACATTAATGATACTAAAAAAATCTACCACCAAAGATTAAAGCATTAACAGTTCTACAGATTTATAAACAGTTGGTAGTGTGAGAAAGCATCCAGACTAGGTATGGACCAGTATGAGATTTTGACTATATGATAAGCTTGAGCAAAAATACATCTTTTCCCCACAATACTATGGTACTAAAAACAATTATTTTTATTTACCGGTACCTTCAAAAATGTGAATGATTTTAAAGCAACATTTAATCAACCTTTTTATTTCTAATGTCTTTTTTACAATTATATTTAGGATTAAGGCAGTTTTTCTATTTCAGTCACAAATATTGAGATTTACTTCTTCATTTAACACCATAAAGTTCAAAGGTTGTTTTAATATAGTAATTGTTTCCAACAGATTTTAGCAGAAATTATGAACCATTTATTTATTGACACTGTTCTTTGTGAGTTTGTGCTGTTCACAAAAAGCTTAAGTTTACCATTTAAGAGAGTGTTTTATGTTTGCCTGGTTGTTATTTTGTGCACCTTATAAATATAATATAGTGTGTTTCCCTGACAAGCTGATGTTGGCTGTTTGTAACCTCTGTAGCATTCCTGCAATGGGTTGTATATTTCACCTGCTAACATGCTAACTCCTAACTTTTTGCAAATAATTGTTTCAGAACAGCATTACTTTGAAAAAAGAGATGGTTGTTACTTTTCTGGTAGACAAGCCGTGCCTGAATGGGTTGCTCACTGAATAAAATATACAACCAACCAAGTATTTTTTTCAAAGAGTTATTGCCCCATACCTAACATAGACAAAGCATCCTTACTACCGGTACAAACGTTTCAGTGAGTTGTTTTCAAAGATGCAGGAAATAATTTGGACTTCTTTTTTCTAGAGACCTTGTACAAACTGCAGAATCTATTTCTCTTTGTGACCCAGGACGGCATCGTAGAGTTTTCCAGTGTATCGGTACTGGATGTTGGTGAAGCCAGCAGCTGTTAGCAGGGCAGCATGATGAGACCCTGACCTCTCTTTGCCCTCCGTCTGCAACAGCATGATCAGGGAGTGGAGATGGGCCGTCAGTGGGCCAGATCCATCCTCGTTTATCAGCATCTCCACCACCAGCACACCACCTCCTGCAACAGGACCGATTATAAAACGTCATCCGTTTTAATCCTGTCTTTGTATGTTTTGGCTTTGTTTTTTCCTGACAGTTTAGATTGCTGGAGAGTTTTTGCCAAACCTAACCACAAATCAGTTTTGTACCAATTATCAAGGTATAAATTCTTATTTAGTTTTTAAAACTGTTTTGTGGATCAGTCTTGAGCAAAGTTAGCAAGTAAAATACAGTCTTGTATTAAAATGCATAAACAAAACTGTATGTAAAGCAAAGGTTGGGCAAAACTTTCACGATTTACGTCATTTACCCTTACAATCTATCAATGGTTAACAGTGGGCTCATTTGTCTGTGTTTTAAACAACCGACTGTCCAGTGAAAGCATCTCTTCTTTCATATTCAGTTTGATTTTTCAGACCTCTCTGTTGCACCGTTCGCTCATATTTTTGGCTGATTTTGTGTCTGCTGGTCTGGCTTTGATCAAAGCCAAAGGAACAGATTTTTCTGGGATCAGCTGCATTGTGGAATACAATCTGCCATCTCATTTCTGGCAGGGGAAAAAAAAAAAGTACTGATCTTTTTCACTAAAACACACACACACATGCACTCACACACCTGGTTTGCAGGCTTTGTAGATTCCACGGAGCAGCTCTATGCAGTGTTCGTCAGTCCAGTCATGGAGGACTCTGCAAACAATATAGAGGTCAGCTGCCGGCAGATCATCTTTGAAGAAGTCCCCTTAAAACACACACAAATACATTGAATTTCCAGGAAAGTAAGCGTCTCCAACTTTTACACCATTACCCTGAAGGCCTAGCATTCAGTGACGTAATGCACATTGTCTGCTGCCTTTAATGCCAGAGCTTTAACCTAAAACATGCTTATGCTAAGAAAGGGTGAAGTAATTGCCATTTTGGTCAAACAATGAGACAAAAGTCACATTTTTATCATTTGCAATAATGTGGAATCTTGCAAGATGTGTTGGCATTCAGCCTCTACCACATCAAATTTTAGCTCCATGTCTGTAAAAACGGCAGAAAATTTGTCACTTTTGTTTCCACTAAAATCAGTTCTGTGGCAGCTATCTTATCTGCATTGATTTGAAAAGTGAAACACTCGCATCATGTGTTGGGAATGAGTCTCAGCAACTACCACACAAAGTTTTAGCCTTTAGCTGTAGGCAAAAATGAGACAAATTAACTCTCACAGTGATGCAATTGAAGCAATAATATTTATTCCTCCTCAGATTCCGTCAGGAATTAATCTGAAACCTGAAGTGCTGATTAGAAAAAAATAGCAGAGCATCATTGGAATAAATGCACTGCAGTAATACAAAGGGTGTGTGGTTGTTTGAGTAATGTGAATGTCACTAAGGCCTCAAGTTGGGCTGCCTTAAAACTGGTTCACAGGCTTCTCTTTATCTGATTTAATTATTTCACATAATTATTAATTCTGTTGACAAGCCCTCAACTAATGACACGACTTGATTAGTGGTTTACACGCTTAAACATAATTACCACAAATGGATGATGTCTGCTGTAATCAAATTATTCTAAATGCATGTGACCCACATTGATTACAGCACATTTACAAGCTCCGTCAAACATTCAGTGTTGATTTAGTTACTGGGAGAAAAAAACATTCATTAGCCAGTCACTCACTCACTCTTGTTTCATTTTGGGTCTGGTTGGGTCCAGAGTAGAAACAAAAATGAGCCAATCAAACAACTTTAAACTGGTGTGTTACAGCACTGGTTGCATTTAAACAGCGGGAGTGGCAGGAAGTGACTTTTACTGCAGGTTTTTAAGATCAGCTGCAGCTGCAAACCACTGTCTCACATCTGCTGTGGCGCAGAGACAACCCACTGAATGAAGTATTGAGTACAAATAGACAGTTCCTTACACAACTATTTTAGTTTAGCAGCATTCAATCAGTGGAGTAAAATGGTATGCGACCGATTGTATCAAAATTGGACTTTTGGCTGAAAATTGTAAATACAGATACATCTTTAAGCTATTTTGGGATAAATTACTAATAGAAATGGTTAGTGTTGTGATTTCATCCATTCCGTAAAATAATTTTAGCGATGTTTGCTTCTATAAAATTACTGATAGATATTTAGTTGTTATTGATGAGGGATTATATTTTCATTGTGAAGGTCTATGCCACAGATTTAAAAGCTTTAATAAAAACTGACGACCACACCGCACCTAACAAAAATGTAAAAGCAAAACAGCAGATGCACCCTTCATCCTAATAAATTAAACAGGTAACCTAATTCTGCCATCGTTTTACTTGGCTTGGCATGCGCCAGGTGCTTATATAATTTTAATGAGACTGTGCAAACTTAATATTACCACACAAAAAGATAAAGAAAACACAGATTATGAGCAAATATGTAGACAGAATTATAAAAGGAAAGAAAGACAGCAATATGGAAGCCCACTGGCTCAGTTTTGTATGTGTTGTGACATTGTTCCATTTGATGCTGAAGTTAATTCTATTTTCTTTTTATGCATGTTTGTGTTTAAAGCTGTTGCACTTAAACTGTCACTAATGTAGAGTGATTTAACACAGTTGTAATGATGTTACCCTCAAGGAAGCTTATCCTCTCTTCGCCCTCGTTGACAAAGCGTTCCCGCGCTATGCGCACCACCTTGGGGAGGTCAAAGATCGTCACAGAGCATTCTGGGTAGACTGACGTGCAATGCTTGGCTAATGCTCCGGTGCAGCCTAGAATGAAGGACAAAATTACTTTTAGTTATGCTGCATAACCTTCAATGACAAGGTAGTAGATCAATTACAGACACATTACACACAAACCTGCAAATAACACAGAGGTGCAACATAGACGCTTTCAAGATCATAATAATAAAAATAAATAAAAAACGACTTAAATTCAATCAAATCAAAATATATAAATAAAAAACACCAGAATTTGTACAAACATGATTATGCAAGTGGGTCTTATTCAGTGGCCTTTCTGAAAGTTATGAACAAACAAATAGGTTTTATCCAACTTGACCACTAACTTTTACACACTACACCTTTAACCCAACAAAGTTCAGTCAGGTCATCTGGATAGTTTCTTTTTATGTTGAGATCTTTCACCCTTCATCCAAAGGACTTTATCAATCCGAAGAGCCACAACAAACTCAGTCCCACAAGCAGCACACTCACATAGTGGGTCAACAAGTTTGCTGGAGATAAGATGGTTTCTGGGACTCGCCAAATCCCCCATCGACTCCTCTGAGGCAGCATTAACCAAAGTGGTTCAAAACATCAAAGTTCATGTTCAATAATCCAAACTCAGTCCCTTGTGGGACTCAGTTTGTTATAGCTCCTCGGACTGATGAAGTCCTTTGGATGAAGGACGAAATGCCTTAACAAAAAAAAAAAAACCATCCAGATGACCTGACTGAACGTTGTTGGATTTTTACCTGGATTATTGAGCATGAACTTTGATGACTACACCTTTAAGTTTAGACATCAATTGCCTCATAAGGTTAGGACATAAAATAACTGGCTAATGTAAACATGTAGCTTGTGTTTTATATATATAAAGAAAAATGTTTGTGGGCACTGAGTACATGCATTTAAGAAAACGAGTTTACATAAATGCAGAAAATAAAACATCTTTACCAACTTTCTGCTATTTGAATGCATTTTTGCTGAAGAGTGTGGGCTGACAAACAACCTTAATGTCTTCTCTGTTTGCCGATAAGAGATTAGTGCTGCTTATAGTTTGTTTTGCAGCTCAAGAAAATGGATGTGCAAAACAGAGATGTCTGCAGCTTTGTAGTCTGACACCTTTCTGTCATTTTTAGCCCTAGCATTGAGACGATCAGCTATTTGCCATAGATCAGATCCTGTCTGGACTACATGAGCCAGCCATCACCCTTCAGCTGCATTAATAAGCCTTGAGCATTCATCACTCCGTCACTAATTCGCCAGTTGTCATTCCTTGAACCTTTAGAGCTTAATCACTGCATAACAGGAGCACCAGTAAGTACTTTCTGTCACCCAGCCTTCTTGTCAAAGTTCCTCCGATTCTGACACTTGCTTTTTTTTATATACTTTCCTTAGTTGAAACTTAAAAAATTGACATTTCCTTTCACCTAAAGGTGAATGTAAACTTGCGACCCTTGACTTTAGTCTTTTATAGTTGTTGTACCGCATATGCTTCCATGTATATGAGTGGAATTTGAGGCATTCAGATGAGTATTCAAACTTAAAAATAGGAGCAAAAGCAAATGTTTGCGCAAAAAAAAGTGATGCTTTTGCACTATCATTGTCATTCTTTGAGTGTGGAGAACGATCAGGTGGCTATTGGGAAAAAAATGGTTTGGGATTAAGAAAAATACAGAGCTTGAGTGTTGACTGGGGCAGAAAAGCATCTCATTCTGACAAACCTTTAAAGCCAGTCAGCTGGGACAGTGTGTGTTGATGCACATGCATGCAGGGCAAGCATTCCTCCAAGCTATCCAGCAACATGACCTGCTGCTGCTGAATGAGTGTATCCTTACAAAGCTCCTGCTTTTTGCACACATACACATAGAGAGAGGAAATGCTGCACAGCTCTCACATCAAACACACGGCGGCAGAGGAGAAAAATCTAAGAGTGACAAGAAGAAGTGAAAGCAAACACAACTCTGTTCAAAACACAAAGCTTACCTAGCTGTTTGTGATAATGATCCCCTGATGAAAGAGTAGGGATTGTTTCATAAAAAGACTGTTGCATTACTAATCATGCAATGAAATGCATGGAATTTGTTTGAGTTCTTCAGTAGTTGCTGGATACAATTTTTTTTTTAGCCAAAGTTCCTCTGCAGCAAGCTTATATAACATAAAACGCTGCAAACTGATGCAGTTTTAAAGTGTAGAAGGTATTGGAGATGATACAGAGTCAGAGTTTCTTTATTGTCATTCGCACCTCATGTGGTACATGTGGTGGAGCGAAATTATGTACACAGGGTCCCAGTTACATCCAACAATAAAATGTATAAGAAAAACAGTAATGACATCTAAGATATGAACTAAGAAAAACATCAACTAAATATACACTAAGCACTCATAACATAAAACATTGAACATCAGCACAAACATGAACATGAGTCTGTGAGCAGATGTGCATGCATGAACACATCAACATTGAAACAGATCAGCAGCAACATGAAACAGATCAGCAGCAACATGATATGGTTTTTCACAGTGATTATTCTAGTTAGAGATTCATGAGTCTAACAGCCTCAGGGTAGAAGCTGTTCCTCAGTCTAGTGGTTCTACACTTAATGCTCCTTAACCTCCTTCCTGAGGGGAGTGGGGCAAAAAGTGTGTGTGCTGGGTGAGTGGGGTCCTTCATGATGCAGGTGGCCCTCTTCCTGCATCTGGAGGTGTAGATGTCTGTGATGGTGGGGAGGCTGATTCCAACAGATTTCTGTGCAGCCTTCACCACTCTCTGCAAAGCTTTTCTTTCTGCAGCTGTGCAGCCTCCATGCCACACATTGATGCTCGAGCACAGGATGCTCTCCACTGCAAACCTGTAGAAGGAGGTGAGGACTGAGCTTCCCAGACCAGCTCGCCTCAGCCGTCTGAGGAAGTAGAGTCTCTGATGAGCTTTCTTGATCAGGCTGGTGGTGTTGTTGTTCCAGCTGAGGTTGTCATTCATGTGTACACCCAAGTACTTGTAGCTGGAGACCACTTCCACCGCAGATCCTCTTATGTTCAGGGGGGTGTAGGTGTTTTTGTTCCTTCTGAAGTCCACAATCATCTCCTTTGTCTTCTTCACATTGATGTGAAGGTTATTCTCTCTGCACCAGCTCTCCAGGTGTTCCACTTCTTGCCTGTAGCTGGACTCATCATTGTTTGTGATGCATCCCACCACCGCTGTATCATCTGCAAACTTTACAATGTGACAGCTTGGATGGGTAGCTGCACAATCATACGTGAGCAGAGTAAACAGGAGGGGGCTCAACACACATCCCTGAGAAGAGCCAGTGCTGAGGGTTATGGTGGAGGAGGAGAGGTTGTGGATCCTCACTAACTGTGGTCTGTTTGTTAAAAAGTCTAGTACCCAGTTGCAGATGGAGGGGCTTATACATATCTGATGCAAAAAAAATTGCTTTATCAGTATAGATTGTTTGGACATAAACGTAATATGAACAATCGAGGTGAAGAAGAAAAACAGACAGAGAAATACTCAAACAAACAAATAGATTATGGCTCATAACATGTTTCTAGTAGAGAGTTGATCATCTAGTTGGCAGAGTTTGACTGACAGCACATCTTGAGCAGCAGGTGGGCACAGACACAACAGATGCTGTGTGAGAGACGTGGTCTACACGGGACTCTACAGTCACGTCCTTGAGGCTCTTGATGATCACTTGCTCACACTTTTTGGACATACAGCTTCATGCATAAGCATGAACAGACAGCACCATGTTGAGAAAGTCACAAAGGAGCAGGAAAAGACAATTGGACCGACTGCATGCTTTTAATGGTTCCACAGCGCCCCTGTGAGGTCAGTTGAAGTAGTACATGCTGCATGTGGCCCACCTGTGGGCAACATGACAGAAGCGTCCATACTTTTTAAATGCTGAGGCTCATTTTATTAGGAGCGAATACTTTAGTGGGTTCCTAACTATTTTAATCTGGAACTAAAATACATGCATTGTGAGTTTAATCTGATTTTGCTCCAAAGTTTTTTCTAATTTATTAACTAATACTAAAAAAAGAGTCTGTCGTCAGCATCCATACATAGCAGCATTTGAATCCTATCAGCATATGAGTGGAGTCAGCTGGTGGTTCATCTCAAGATTTTGAATAAGGACTTGAAAATGTAACATTTCAAGCACCATCTCTCAAACAAAAGCTGTTCTAGTTTCATTCCATCCTTCCTTTTAGAGTTGCCTTCACCCTTTGATTGTGCTTCTCCACTTCACCCGAATCTGCCACCTCCTATAATTGTGTCTGTTTAAAGTGTTATTTTCTGATTCACTCTCATCTTTGTCACAACTGCTTGTTGTGCAAAGCACTCGTTGCTTAAAAGTCGTTGCTCAATTAAAACCATTCCAGATGTGAACAAATGTAAACCCACAAGCTCGTAAACATTTTGAGGACTCAATGAAATACTTGGACTCAAAACTTACCTCCAATATCACAGATGTCCTTAAAAGGGGAAAGATCGAAGGCTGTGATTACTTCTTTGCCGCAGACTTTCCAGATAGAATTCATTAACTCCATGAAGTTCACCATCTCCTCATCATCCCTTCACAGAGAATCACACAGAGAAAAAGAGTTTCTTTATTTCTTTGATTCCTTTCAGTTATGTCTCATCATTTTCTGTGATAGGCCACCTAAGGGTTAATGGAAGCACACACATTTTTTACAGAAAGTTTATCCAGTGGCTTCACCGTGGTGTATGTCTATTTGACAGACAGGGTGCGGCAGAACAGAAGAGCCTGTGGTGAGTGCTGCTGCTCTGAGGAATCTCCACCTCATCAAGCAGAACCACCACGAGGGATACACACCCAAACACACGCACACACACATTCTCCTCGTGCAACACTGCTTCCATTTGTAAAACTTTGCTGTAGCAAAGTGCTCAGTCATCTGATACTCAAACCAACTTCCGAACACACAATGACATCCAGAGGACCTTTCAAAGTGACTCATTATTGGCCTCAAACTCTGACTGCATCAGATGTAAAAAAAAAAAAAAAAACTCAAATGGCACTGAGGCCAAACAGAAAACTGTCAGCTTCCATTTGAAATCATTTGGGGTAAAATATACTAAACGCCCTCAAATTGCAAATTCTGTGTTGTGGTTGTTTTAGCCACGGAAAGTACATTTATTAACTACATATCTCGTCTTTCTTTACAGTTGTAGTGCAAAAAGGAGTTTAGCCAGAAAACTTTTTCTTGTTTTGCTAGGGGATCACAGTATGTCTTTTTTTTTTTGTATCACATCATATTACTATGTATGGACCATATGGCAATGAATAGATCATATTGTATTGTATCAGTTTTCTTGTTTCATATCATATCGTTATATCATATTATATTGTATTGCTCACATTGTATTGTTTCATATTGCATTGTATCATATACCGTAATTGTATTGCATTGCATTGTGTTGATTGTATAGTATTTATTGTATTGTTACATATGTATTCTCATATATATTAGTTTCAGTCATATTGTACATATTGTATCTAGGGATGCACCGATAAATCTGCCCAGGATTTCCTTAATTTTGGGAGGTCGGAGATCGGCCGATACTTACATGAGAAACCGATTTTACCGATTTTTTTGTAGTTTTAACAACAATTGTCTGAACTTCATTTACATTTCAAAACACTAGCTCATGGCCAGTTAAAACAAGTTTGTATTGTTTCTAGGATATTGTTTAAGGGTATGTTTTTCAAGAAAATAACGTTGGAAAATTGAAGGTGCATTGTGACCTTATAACACCTGACAGTGTCGCTTATAAAACAAAATCGGTATTGGCCTAAATCAGAATCGGCAGGTCAGACTTTTTAGAGATGGGTGATCGACCAGAAAACTGCAATCGGTGCACCCCTACTTGTATCATATTGATCTTGTGTTGTATTGTATCATGTGTATCATTATAATGCATCACATCTATTATTTGATCAGATGTGTCTTTGTACTGATCATTATAACTTGTTAATGCATTTTTCTGCAATGGTGAATTGTATCTTTAAATAAGATCTCCTTAATAATAATTGTGTTGTTTAATAATTCTGCACTACGTTCGATTTTTTTTGTAACAAACTGCTGATGGCAGGAATCAGACTTGTGTCTCATAGATGTATAGTGTTCATACTGTGGAAGGGACAAATGCTGTTGTGTGTTTTTACTGTGCAAAACAAACAGGTAGCATAGCAAGAAATAAAAGTGGTTAAGACACCTGTAAGAATTTTACTAAAACTTACAATTTACAGTATATTTGTTAAAAAGCATGTACTAATCAAAGTGTAAACTGGTTTAATAGAAGTACTACTGTTTCTTTTACATTCTTCTGCCTGCATTTTGTTTTTTTACTTACAGTTTTCTGCTTTCCTAAGTTTAAGAACTGAAGCCAAGATAGAGACCTGGCTGTAAATTATTTAGATGCTGTACACGAGTGGTTAAATGGTGAAGGGTAAACAGGAGTCTGACTCATCCAGCCAGCATTGAATCATCCTGCTCATGCTGCAGTGCTCCAAGAGAGCAGTGAAGGACTTCAGCCGTCGTTTTCCCTTGCTAATTTATCCACAGTATTTAACAGGGGAAATCAGCGGGGAGCAACAGCTGCTTCTCCACATTAATTCAATTGTGCTCAGGTGCTAAAATTGTTCTTGTATGATATTCCAATTTGAATACAACAGCCCTAAATTGCAAATGTATGTGCACAACATGTGCTATAATTTGTTTACATAGTTCATAGTTGGCATATTCTTGTTTTGCAGACATATTTATATAAAAACGACTGTATTTAACCATGAACTGCTTTCTGAAAAGGAAAAAAATATATATGACTTGATAGGTACAATGCATTTTTATTCCAATGAATGCATCAGATGAGAACTAACAATTTTTTTTTATAATGAAACCCGTTATATGTTTACTCCTACATATTTATGAGGGTTTTCTAAGCTAAAGGTGGACTAATTGCTAAATATATTTTATTTTCTTATATGTAATTTTTTTTTTTTTTAAATCATAAAAAATCTATACATTAACGTCTCTGTCAAATCCTGTTCCATTTAGGTAAATTTTGCAAATGAAACCAATATTGAGGGATAAAGGAAATAATATTTTCTCAAATTATTCCTCTGTTTCAATTTGGGCAGATTTTTGCCCTTTGGAGCTTGTAGTGTTTTAAAGCACTGACCCTCAGGCAGGCTGATCAAATCTTTTAGCTAACCAAGTGTAATTTTTTTTTTTTTTTATGTGTGTGGTGACCCTTAAAAATTGCTGACCAGCAGATCAGTGAAGCGTTAAAACTGTGGGCACTGGTATATAAAAACACACCAGACCTCTAGGACAATGGAAGATGGTTTTCTTTTCCTCGCTCTCTTTCTCTTTCCGCCCCAAGCTTCCTCACATCACTGCGTTCTCACTCGTTTCATTTGTCTCTCTTGATCTCATGTTTTCTGCTTTTTAATGAATCCAACAGGCCTTTTATATTCTAAGGGGGAAAGGTGAGATGGTGACGGAGATGGTGAAAGACAAGTTTAAGAAAGGGAGACAGAGATGGGATGTGCAGGTGCAGCCCAGAAAATTAGAGTATTGTGAAACGGTTCAATTTTTCTTGTCAATTATTTCAGAAAGTGAAATTCATTATCAAGATTCATTGCACAGAGTAAATTATTTCAAGCTTTTATTTTGTGTAATTTTGATGATTGTGACTTACAGATAATGAAAAGCCAAGACTCGTTTAGAATATTACATAAGATCCACAAAAAAAAATTATATTTTAAACACAAATGTCAGACTTCTGAAAATATGTTCATTTCTATGCACTCAATACTTGGTTGGGCCTCATTTTGCATAAATTACTGCATCAGTGTAGCATAGCATAGAGGTGATCAGCCTGTATCACTGCTGAGTTGAGCTTGATGGCCAGTCAAGCACAGTAGCTCCATGGTTATTGAACCAGCTTTCATGGGAAAAGAGGCCATTGGACCACTGAGCAACAATCCAGTTCTTCTTCTCCTCAGCTCAGGTAAGACGCTTTTGACGTTATCTCTGGGTTAGAAGTGGATTGACATGAGGAATGCAACATTTGTAGCCTATGTCTATGATTCATCCATAGAGGCTTACAAGAAATAACGGCTTGAAATACGTCACTTTATGTAATGGATCAACACAACGAGTTTCACTTTCTGAAATGATTGAAAGAAATGAACTTTTTCATAATATTCTTATGTTCTAATTTAATTTGTAATTTTCTGAGCTGCACCTGTAAATGAGCAAAAACATGTTGCATGTTATGCTTGTTTCTGAAAGCTCAACACCAAGATGGATTCTTACCTGTACAGAGCTTGAAACAGATCCTTTGAGCTGACCCCAAAAGCCTTCTCATGCTGACAGTTTCCTTCTCTGTGAAGACAACCACACAATCAACTACAAAAACAACAGCATAAGCAGCTTGTGTTGGTTTTTGACTCCACATAACCAAAATAAGATATTCAGCTCAATATAACTGCTTGCTTTCATCTTTATCATCTTTAGCGCTATTTACTTTTTATTTTAAATGGACCTATCTGGGCATCCACAAGAAGACTAGCCATGCTTTCAGTATTTGGAAAAAGGAAGAATAAGTCCATATTTAAAAGGTTACAAGCTGAAACTGCATTTCTCACATCCCATCAATGCCCACTTGTGGTAAAATCTTAAAACCTTAAAACCTAAGTACACTACTTTTGTTTCTCTGAGCCCTGACAGAAATATTTTAGAAGTCTAATAATGCACTGTTTAGGTATTTTGTTAAAATAGTTTGGTTCGGCATTATTTGACAACAGTACCAAACAAAAGTCATCACACGATACAGAAAAGACAAATAATCTAAAATCATGTTAAATACAGTCACATTCAGTTGATTTACCAACACGTTAAATCTCATTCAGTCTAATTTAATCTAATCCAATACAAACCTAATCAAGTTTAAGTATAACCCAATTGATTTGAAGTCAATATGTCTGAATGACAATTTAAAAAGAAAAGCTGTTTTACTGATAAGAGCAAAAACCTGCATTAAATATTTAAATTTATGAGCATGCCGAGAGCAACATTTGTACATGTTTAGCTGCAGGAGGAGAGACAGGTGTGGGACAGTTGGAGCAGATCTTTATCAGTTCCACCCAGCTTCAAATGTCACTTCTGTTTAGCCAGATTTTGCTTTTATTCATTACAGCAGTGTAAGCCACATCAAAGTTCTTGCTTTTGAGTATTCTGTCCTTGTCACTTGGTTTACCTGCTCAACCACAACCCACTCACTTAGCTTTTTATCCACTCACTGCTACGTCTTTTCTAGAATTCCAATTTAGGTGCCATCATTTGGTATAACAGATGTTGAAATACTTTCAACGGACGCACTTCACTGTCTGCAGTTATGCTTACGAGGTCCTGACCAGATTTAATTCATCTTTGTGTCTTTGTGCATGCTTCAGCGTTCACTAAATCGAATGTAAAATTAGATGACATTTTGATTTTGTCTTGTTTATAACACTTGTAAGCAGAGGTGGAAAGAGTGCTGAAAATTTGTACTCAAGTACAAGTACAGTTACACTGCTTAAATTGTACTCAGTTACAAGTAAAAGTACCGGTGTTATAAAAATACTTAAGTAAAAGTACAAAGCACTCTTCTCAGAAACTACTCAGAGTATTAGTTACTTTTTAACCAATTGATGTTTTATTGTGTTGTCAATAGAAGGCATTCAATTCGATTTACTGTATATAACAGCTACATTCAAAGCACATTTCTCAGACGAACAATAAAGTATAGAAAAATTACACAAAGGCCATTTCTTTTGAAAAATAAATGTAGATAAAGCAGGAATTTTGTTTGTTAAAAGAAAGACAAAAATGTTTTTGAACTTACATAGAACAGTTTAAACTTTTCCATCCTTTCTAACACGGTAAATCTCCTTTTTTGCTCCTTGTTTTTTTTCCTGGCAGCTGCATTTCAAACATCCTGCTACCAATATACCCACTGTCCCTCCTCTGGACATGTCCAAACCATCTCAGTCTGACCTCTCTAACTTTATCTCCCAGTTGTTCAGCCTGCTGTACCTCTGATGATCTGATTCCTACTCTTATCCATTCTTGTCACTCCTAAGGAGAACCTCAACATCTTCATTACTGATACTTCCATTTCTTTCTCCTGTCTTTCTGTCAGTGCCACTGCCTCCAAACAATGCAACATAGCTGGTCTCACTACTCTTTTTGTAAACCTTTCATTTGACCTTTGCTGCAAATCACTCCTGAAATATTTCTCCATCCACTCCATCCTGTCTGGACTTTCTTCTTCACATCTTTGCAATACTCCTAGACTCACTGTTCCAGCTGCATCCCTCCCATTCACACATGTACTCTGTCTTGCTATGACTGGCTTTCATTCCTCTTCTTTCAAATGCATACCTCTATAACTCACCTGGTTCTCACCACAGGCCATGTCTTCTGCAAACATTATAGTTCACGGGGAATCCTGTCTGACCTCATCTGTTAGTCTGTCCATCACCAGAGCAAACAAGAAGGGGCTCAGAGCTGATCCTTGATGAAGTCTCCACTTTGAAGCTATCTGTCACTCCTACAGCACATCTTACCACTGTCCTGCTGTCTTTGCACATGTCCTGTATCAGTCTAACATACTTCTCTGCCACTCCAGATTTCCTCATACAATACCACACCTCTTCCCTCAACACCCTGACGTATGCTTTTTCTAACTCCACAGATACACAATGGAGTTCTTTCTGACACCCTCTGTAATTCTCCATCAGCATCCTCAAAGCAAATATGGCATCTGTGGTGCTCTTTCTTGGCGTGAAACCATTGCTGCTCACAAATTGTCACCTCTGGTCTAAGTCTAGCTTCCACAACTCTCTCTCAGATCTTCACCGTGTAGCTCATCAACTTAATTCTCCTGTAGTTGCTTTTATTCTGTATACATCACCCTTGTTCTTAAAAGTGGGCACCAGTACACTTTTACACCATTCCTCAGGTATTTCCTCACTCTCTGCCATTAAATAATCAAGTCAAAATCATCTCTCCTAGACATTCCCATACCTGACACTGGTATGTCAACAAGTCCAACTGCCTTCCCCTTCTTCATCCATATCACACTTTTCTGAACTTCATCCTCACTCATCTTTACTACTTTCTGGTTTACAGTTTCCATGACCATTACTCTACTTTCCCTTTTATTTTCTTCATTCATTTGCTCCTCAAAGTACTCCTTCCACCTGACCATCACAATCTCCTTGCTGGTTAGAACATTACTGTTCCCACCGTTAACAAGCCTAACCTGCTTCACATCCTTTCCAGCCTGATCCCTCTGTCTCACCTGTCTCTGTCTTACTCTCTTCTTTACCACAACAGTCATCCTACACACCACAATCCAATGCTTTCTGGTAACACTCTCCCCTTGTCACAACCAGTCCACAATCTCCCTAAGGTGTTCTCTTCTACACATAATGTAGTCTACTGTCTACCTGCGTACACCTTCCTCCACTCTTATAGGTCACCCTGTGGAAATAGATGTTTACTACAGCCAACTTACTGTAGTATGAATGTTCAAACTCGTGTCTGTGCTGAGTGTTCTGACCTGACAGCATTAGTGATATATTGACAGTAGACGTAGATGGTTCTGGAGAAGTACTGGATGAAAAGGCTGAGGGACAAAGGACTGGAACGAGTAAGAAAGACCTGAGTCTCCTCCGTGTTACTGTATAAAACTAAAGCAGGAAGAGGAAGATGGAGAGATAAGAAGTGAATGAACAAATAGAAACATGAATTTGACCTTTTATGTGTATGATAGACAGGCAGACATGTGTAAAGTGGATGTTTGCATGCAATTAAATTCAACTAAACAAAAACTATTTTGAAAAACTTGAATAAAAAAAAAAAAAACTCTCCATAATTCGTTTTCAGCAATCTTTCTTTGTGTTCTGACCTTGTTCATTATCCTGATGTGTGTTGAGCAGCTGCAAGACTGCACACGTAGCCAGCAACCTCTTGGTTCCATCCAGACTGGCACCCACTGCCTCACTGATCTCCTCTGCTGAGAGGGGGCGCTCTGCAGCCAACAGCACGTCAAACACCCCCAGTTCACAGGCAGCAAACATCGTCTACGTCAGACAAGAAACAGACGAGAAATAAATCAAATGGAGCAAAACAGAGATGAATACATTTAAATATCAGTCAACAAGAAAACTTACTATAATGTGCAGACAACAAGTGAATTTAATTAAAATGGGTTTACATTACACACTAGTTTTAGTGCTCAGTCAAAATTGATAAAATGTTGATAACTATATAACTGACATTTGTACCGACTGTAACATTTGAGGGTAATTTGAAATGCAACACTCACAAAGGCCAAAAGGTCCAAGTGTGAATAATTTAAGTCTGTGAGAAAGAACGGCCTTGCTCGTTTAATGCAAAATGCAACAAACAGCTTTGTTTGTGTACTTGGTGCCACTTGTGGCACCTGCTTTTAGTCAATAATCAATGTTGGTACAGACAGAAACAAAATCATGATAAATGTAAATAATACGGTCCAGTCATGCAAATATACTTAAAATACCTAGATAATATGTGCATTTTACACTTTCACAATTTTTTAAAGCCAATTACAAAAAAGTATGTGAGATAAATACACTATGATTCATAACGTAACAGCCTTAAGCAGTAAAAACGGTATGACCTGTGAAACTGTGTCACGGTCATTTTGAGGGACTAACTCATATAAGCACATTTGAACTCTGACTCTGTTTCATCTCTCTCTGATAGTGGCTCAAAATAATCTAAAGAAACAGATTTATTGCCACTGTCTGTGTTGTTAGCCATTGCAGCAATGCTTTGTTTACATGCCTGCGTTCCCCTTGTCATCACTTCCTGTTACTGCACATCTCAACTGTTCATCTCAGTGGCATGAAATTATTTTTGCAACACAATATTAATGTTATCGTTCCAAAAATGCCTTCATATTTATTACAAGCATTTAATGTCACAGGCATTTTAATAGCTAGCAATACATAATGCAGCTGGGTAGATAGTGGGTTCAAATCTAGTACTTACCAGGTACGTGTCATGCTAGTAGAACAATTTCTGAACATGGGTTTGAGTTTAGAAGATTATGTCCACTGACCTCAAAAGGTTCTCTTGTGACTACTGGAGGACAAACTGACCACATTTCCCCAAACAAAAAGTTACAAATGATTCCAAATTAACAGTTTGTACAAACAAAACAAATAGGTAGTAATACATAATACAGCTGGGTACGTATTAAGTTTGGACCTGGCAATTACATACTTGGAACACAACTGATATGTCTCAGGCATGCACTGTGCAAGTAGAACAATTTTTGAACATGTTTTTGATTCTAGAACAGGATGGTAACTGACCTGGAGGGGCTCTCTTGTTGTGAAAGAGCTCTCTTTGAAAGCTGCCACAACTGAACAGAGTTGGTGCACATCATTTAACTGCACAAAAGCTGCAATCATTCCTTCCCAGTGTTGCCAGAGATCCAATAATTATACTATATCTGCAATAGTTTTTGGTCTATATGATCAATAGTTTTTTAAAAGCCCAAATAAACAATAGTTTTTGCATTGCTGTGCACCAAAAAACATCAACTCATTTAATCATGTGAACACCCAGATATCATCCATCCATTCATCCATCCATTATTTTTACCCACTTCTTCCTTTCTGGGTTGCGAGTGTCACCGCTGCTCATATCCAGCAGTCACTGTGGAAGAGGTGAGGTACACCCTGGACTTGCCGCAAATCCATCACAGGGACACATAGAAACAAACAACCATACCTTGGGCCAATTTAGTTACCAATTAGCCTTACATGCACGCTTTTAGTCTGTGGGAGGAAACCAGAGTACCCAGAGAAATCCCACACATGCACGGAGAGAACTTACAAACTTCACCCAAAAAGGTCCCCGGTTGGGATTTGATCCGTTGACCTCGCTGAGAGGCAATAGCTCTACCAACTGCGCCACCGTGCCACCCACCCTATCATCAGTAAGTGAATCTGTTCCTTGTGCTCTTCAAGCTTGAGACTTGCCTTTGTCTTCCAGTCTGAATTTGTTTTGGACCTTCACCACAAACCAACCTTCTTCATACAGACGTACAACTGGAAAGATACTAACCTCTTCATCCTGGTCCAACCTGCCACTCTCATATACGTACCTGTGAAGCTCTACTCACCTTCCTGGAATCTAAAATCTTACCCTCCTCTTCAAGTCTGATCACCTACAACTAGAGTAAGCCTCCTCCACTAAATACACAAACCTTACAGAAGACCATCCACCTTAACTAAAACCCCATCTACATACTGCTTTCCAAGTCACCCTTGAAAATATTATATATAGTAAGTAAATTTGTTAAGTTCCTTATTTTAATGAGTCTTCCTGGGTTTCAGTTTATCTACCCTGAAAAATTAAACTGTACAATGTGTCACACCCATACCCCACTAAGGGAAACTGCACACTTAAGTAAGTAAGTAAGTAAGTAATATTTATTTATATGGCACCTTTCACAGACAATGACATCACAAAGTGCTTCACAAAGTAAAAGTAAATAAAATTTAAATAAAAGCCAGTCTGAATAAATAAGTCTTAAGATCATTTTTGAAAGAGTCAATGGAATCTGAGCAGCGCAGTGACAGAGGGAGAGCGTTCCAAAGCCTGGGGGCCACCACTTGGAATGCTCTGTCTCCACGTGTTTTAAAATAAGTTCTCGGAACTATCAGCAACATTTGATTTGAAGATCTCAAAGTCCTGATGGGTGTAGTGGACTAGGCCCATGTCAAAAACTAAGTCTAAGGTCAAAAATCTTGACCTTAAGAACCTTGTGGGACAGGAACTGTCATTTCATTGGTTTGAATCCAGAAATACAGGTTCACCCATCCTGAGACTTTCTCTCTTGAAGATTCAAGTGAAAAGAACACTCTCTGTTTTATTATCATTACTATTTTACAAATGTTGATAATCAAAGTGTCTTAGTTCAAACCATTTTAGATGTTGCAGTGAACTAATCAATTTTATTAACTGTGTAATGATGATTTTTCTCACGCAAAGTTAGAACTCATGTCAAAGCTGTTACAGAGTAATTATGCCTTTTCTGATTTCTGCTTTTGAATGAGCAAGTGTAAGTTGGTCCAAGGTTGGAGTCAAACGCAAAACAAGTTGTTGGCATGTTTTTAGAATCCTCTCAGACATAAATATAGAGGTTTTTGGCACCTGTTTCTGAAACGCGCCAAAACAAAACTCTCTCTGTCTGTGAGAACATTTCTGATCTTTTCATAACAATTCTTGCTGTCTTCTAACCTCTTACGTCACAAAACACACCCCGTCTGGTCGGTTCTGACCAATGGTAATACTCCCAAAAGTGAACCGGGAAACAGCTCTTTAAAATGTCAGTACTTCCTGGTTTACTCAGTTCAAGTTCGGGTTCTGGTAAGGCTCTGCTCGAGTTCTGTAAACAGTTCAGTTCTGTTAGAAGCTCTGGGATGGTGCTGGAACAGTTCTGGGACAGTTCTGTTCAGTTCTGATGGAGTGCTGTTGGAGTTCTGCTGGATACACAGTCCAACCAGTTCTGTGAGAGAAGCCCAGTTCTGATGGAGACGGGATGATCCTGACATGACAACAGAGCTCTTCCGAGTTCCATGGGATTATAACATTTTCACTCGCCACTACTTCTGACGATTCACAGCATCCTAAGGAGACGCTGGACAGGTAGCGTTAACGGAACACCATATCTGCTGATTATCATCAGAAAGGTAATGGGTCAAGTTTCCTACCAAGCGTACCGAGGCGAGCTGGGTTTCTGATGGAGAGTGTCGGTTCTGGTGAACACTTACTTCCCTTCACACACCCTCTTACTCCCTCTTAACTTCTTTCATCTTTAAACTTTTCTCTAAAGTAGAAATTCTTCCAGATATTTTAGAAATGTCTGTGTAAAATGCTCACCCACATCCATGTGGGTAAAAGATCATAATTGTACAGTTTTCATAAATGTCTGTGGTGAAGCAACGGAAAAATCATGGCCGTATGATTTTTCCTGATTGATTGCTTATGTTGTTATTTTCATAATTTGCCAAATTAATGTAAATGTTTGATGTTAAATTTTGATTCTGTAAATAAATGACCGCATTCATTTTGATGGGTCAAATCTAAATGACGTCTCACGTTTGCATTTCCTTAAATTCAATGCACGTTTTATTCAGTCCAGAAAAATGAGGAATCCGTGTTAAATGATGAATATATCTGAGCATCTGTTCATCTACATGGGTCATAGAGGCTTCAAAAGGTCCAGTAAATATTTGGGAGCCTGACCATGAGGTGCCCTAAAAGTTAGAACCAGAATTTTAAAATGACTCCTGAAATGCACAGGGAGCCAATGCAGGGAGGCCAGAACAGGAGTTATGTGAGCTCTTCTGTGGGTTCTAGTTAGCAGCCTCGCCGCAGCATTCTGCACAGATTGAAGGCGAGCTAGGGAAGATTTGTTCAGACCCATTAAAATGCTATTACAGTAATCTAACCGAGATGAAATGAAAGCATGAACAATCATCTCAAGTTCCTTCTGTGATACAATTCCACGTAGTTTAGAAATGTTTCTTAAGTGGAAAAAACAATTTCGAACTAGCAATTTGCAATGACTGTCCAAAGATAAAGAACTATCAAAGACAACACCTAAATTTCTGAGATTATTATTTACCAAAGGATTTAAGAATGTAAGATACTGCCTGATTACTGGGATTTTATCATCAGGGGCAATAATAAGAGTCTCAGTTTTATTTGCATCTAACTGCAGGTAAATGTAATACTTATACTTATTCAGCACATGCATTAGATTGGGGGTCAAATTATGACAATTTTAGAGCAATAGTATATTATTTTGTCATTTCCTATCTGGCAACACTCCTCATTGATCATCATGAGGGTTCACTGCCAAACTGAACACGTTTTTTCTCATTTTGTGACGTACCAAGGATGTTAGACAGTGCGGTTTTCCTTTCATATATGTTAGCCTCTCTTACACATAGGATACATTCAGAATTGACAAGTAAAAACTTGCAGATTCCAGTTGGTTGAGGTGTGTTTGACTCTCTGGGAATGAATGAATGAATGAATGAGTTCAGTGCAGCGAGGAACATTGACTGAAAAATTATTGCATGTTTCATAGTAGACGTATACCTATCATCAGATAGAAATGATAACGGTGATCATTCATTTAAAGCTTTATTTGCTTTAAAAGCTTTATAAACTGCATTTATTTATTTTACTTGGTTAAACCTAAAGTAAAATAAACTACTGTCTGGTTCAGAAGGACAGTGAGCTTCACTTCCTCTGGCTTAATCAGAAACTTTTTTAGTCAAAAATGTGAATAAAACTTTTCGTAAAAACAAAAATAAATAAATAAATAAATAAGAAAATAGAGATGTGGAACTTACACTTTATTATCCAAACCTAAAAATCCTTTTATTGTGCATGGCCCTAATCCACCTTTTTGACTTTTTCTCTCATGGTTTATAGTTAGTCAAAACTCTTAAAAGAACTCCACTGTGTTACAATCCCATCAAAATAAAGGTTCAAGGTTCTTTGTCATTTGTGGTACATGAGGTGGAACAAAATTGTGTACCCAAGGTCTCAGTTACACCCAAAAATATAAAGCATAAAAAGAAACAGTATACAGTAAGGATCCGACATACACTACACAATAATAATGCAATATAATACAGTGTATTAAACAGCAGCATGAACATGAAATATTTAAAGTTAAATTAAAATATTTTTACCTTGGAGACCATAAAGCCGTCCAAATATTCCAGTATTTTTTGGGGGTACATGTTTGCAACAGCTTTCCCCTCACTGGTGATATCTTGACGTGCAGCCATGGTTCAGACTGGACTTTCCAGGAATACAGGATGTTCTTTCCCTGGGACCTTATATAGGGTCTTAGCGTCCTTAAAGTTGGTTCTCAAAGCACAGATGTTTGTGGGAGTAGCAGTGATGACAAAACCAAAGTACCCACCCAGCTCAGGAACGGTGGTCTAAGCTGCTTACAGCCAGATAAAGCAGATTAGAGTACAGGCTCAGTCTGATGAACAAAGGAACAACTCTGTGGAAACACTGCTGCCTTGTTCATCATCTCTCTCTCTCGCTTCATTAACATACCAGACCTGCTTTCCACAAAGTTCAGAAGATGCCAAACCTTGCAAAATCTGTACCATCACACGCCCAGTGAGTCATATTTTATTAAATTTAGTCATTCAAATCATAGTATTTTTTTAAACTCTTGTTTACAAATCACTTATATAAAGTAAAATATACAAAACTCAAACATGCTTTTGTCAGTTTTCCTTTTTTATTTTTTTACCACTTCCGATGTCTGCTAGACATGTAGCAGATCACGAGGGGAAGATGATTTTTGTTGGGACAAGCACAACAAAGACATGAACATTTCCAAATTCAAACCTTTAGCTAGCAGCTTTAACAGTCAATAAAAAGGAGAAAGACAATTATTCATCAGTGTGTGTAAAAAAAGGAAAACATAACATTTTTTCCCTTTAACTTTACTTTTTAAAGCCGGTTGAATGTTTTTCCATCACATAAAACCCTCAAGGTACAAACTCATAATGTATCACTTGTGCTGAAGAAGTCGTTTTCACATTCTCAGTTCATCCAAAAACAATTCTCTAACTAAAATTACATATTTATTACAAATGCAGCTGCTTCTTTAGAAATAGCAGATGAAGAAAAACAAAGAAAATCTTAGTTCAGCACTAAATCATTTTTTTTTATATATATAACTTTTGGAATTATGTTTTTAATGGTTTGATAAAAAAACAAACAATTAAAAGCTTGAACAAGTACACCACCTGTTTGTAATTCAATTAAAATGAAACGTCATGCTGAGTCTTAAAGGCATTTTCTATAATCGAGCTTACAAACAAAACAATTTTTCTTGTGTGCTTGTTTTGTGAAGACAATAAGTTATGCAAGAGTAAAGATGAGCTTTAGACTGCAAACAATTGGCCAAAATTAACTTTTATTTCAAGCTTTTCTGTCACTGTCTCACTTTATTTCAGTAAGTGATCATTTTATACATACGGTCAGTAAAACAGATCTTCTCTAGTTGCAGGAGGTTTATTTGTACAGAAGAAAATAATGACATTCAGGGCAAAAATAGACTTTTTATAACATTAGCATTTGGAAATTTTAAATTGTCAAATTTAATAAAGAAAAAATATAAAAGCAACTGTGTGAAATCGACAGCACCAAGTGACTTACAAACATGCTAAACTTTTTATTTTAGTTTTGTTATTTTGTGATTTTAATTTTGTTTTCAAGTACTGTATTGTTTTTATATATATATCTTTATCTTAAAAAAGAAACAAAACCAAAAAAGCTGACCAGAAATGTCTAACCTTCTCCTTTAACTTTAAAAATGTTGAATTTTAAGGAGTGAACACAGACTGTTCGTACAGGATGCCACTTAATAAAAATAAAAACTGCTTTAATGCATTTAGCGTCGTCTGGAGTGGCTCCGATCCCTGCTGTGGCTGTGTCTTCTGTATCTTCGGCTGTGATGACTGAGACTCCTGTGGTCCCTGCTTTTATTGCTGTTCCTAGATCTCTGCCTGCTGTGTCTGCGGTGACTCTGCCTGTGGCTCCTCCCCCTGCTGTGGCTCCGCCCACTGATGCTCCTCCTGTCTCTGCTGGAGCTGCTGCTGCAGTATGCGTGCCTCCTGCCTCTGTGTTGACTGTCGCTCCTCCTGCGATGACTGTAACTCCTTCTGCCACGACTTGAGCTTCTTCTTCTACCGTAACTTTGAGAATGCCTCCGTCTCCCCCGACTGTGGGAATGGTCCCTTGCTCGTTCTCTGCTCTGATTGGACTTTTCCCTCCTATGATCACTTTTTCTTCTCTCCTTTGATTTATTCTTCTCTAAACCTTCAGAGTGGACATTAGATTTAGAGGTCTTCTTTCCTCTGCCGTTATCCTCCTTTACACCATTCACCTCACCCAGGACCCCCAACGTCACACCAAGATCTGAAACCTTTTCCCCAGTTAGAGGGACAACTTGGTTCTGCATGTCCATGGCTCCTAAAGTCTCCTTCCTGCTCTTCTTAATAAGATTGCACAGGAGTTTGTCCCTCAGCTCCTTTTCTCTTCGTTGAAGCTCCAGCGCTCGCTGTTTCTCCACTTCCACCCTGCACAGCTCCTCCTCCTGCTTGCGGCGGCAGGCCTCCAGCTGCTGAAGACGAGCCAGTTCCTCCTTTTGACGAATCTGCTCCAGCCTTTCTCGCTCCTGGAGTTCAGCTCTCTCTTTCTCCAGCTGCTGCTGCTTAAGCGTCTGTGAAAAATAATCACACAGGTGCAAAGATAAATGTTGTAGATATATTAAAGGGCAAAGCTTTATCTTGTGCAAGTGACAAGTTCCAAGCTTTTCTATTTAAAGCGCCATTATTGACAAACCTTAATGCAGGCTAGACAGAACAGAGCATCACTTTCCCAAATCTAAACCCATGAAGAATACAAAAATGGTAAAAGCAATAATATTGTTTTGTTTCATGAAACATTACATATCTATCGTATTTTCCGACCTAAAACGTCGCTCCGCCCTATAAGTTGGATCAGTCCAAATATGATTAAGTGGAAAAATCCATAAATATGTTGCTTTGCTGTATACGTCGCATCTATTATGTGTCACCACTGGCACGTCGCGTGTGTTACGCGTCCCCGCTGACAACGCGCAAATGTGGGCCGAACCCAGAAATGTGGGCCGGTGTTGTGCCAAAAATCGATTGGTTGCCAAATGGCGGCTGCTGGAGCGTGCACGTGAGGACTTTAACAAGAATTTAACAAGATTAACACTTAAAAACAATTATTTGTTTGCTCAAAATTATAGCTAAGTTGTGTCTCAGTCCAACTTTTGTTTAGTAAATGTGCTTTAATGGTCAAATTAGCTTCATGTCGCCGGGGCGGTGCAGCAAAATGAAGCTGGTTTGATGGTTGGTCCAAGCAGCGAGCAGGACGAAGGTGGCAGGCTATGGCAAGCCAATTGTGTCATTAATAGCTGGTGAAGATTTTCAGTCATCCAGGACATGATAAAATCAAAAAAGTTCAAGACAAAAACAATAAAGTATAAAGTATCCAGCCATCCATTATCTTTTACCTGCTTCTTCCATTTTGGGTCACGGGGGTCGCCGGTGCCCATGTCCAGCAATCCCTGTGCAATGGGTGGGGTACACCCTGGACGGGTCACAAGTCCATCACAGGGCCACATAGAGACAAACGAGACAAACAACCATTCACTCTCTCACTCACACCTAGGGACAATTTAGATTTATCAGTCAGCCAATCATGCATGTTTTTGGTCTATGGGAGGAAACTGGAGTACCCAAAGAAAACCCACGCATGCACGGAGAGAACATGCAAACTCCACCCAGAAAGGCCCCTGGACCGGGGTTTGAACCAGGGACCTGCTCGCTGAGAGGCAGTGGCTCTACCAGTTGCGCCACCGTGCTGTCCAAGTATGAAGTAAATTATAATAAATAAAGTCCAGTTGTTTTTGGCTTGAACTTTTTTGAATTTGTCATTATAGCCATTTTTACCTATTACATAATACAACGGCATGCCAAACAATGCGAATGCCATCTAGCGGCTGAAAATGGTAGTGTTCAATTTTTTTCAGACAGAATGAATGAAAATGGTCATATCTCAGCCAAAGATTGGTTTATAAATATAGGAAAAAAATCCATAAATACGTTGCTTCTGCGTATGAGTCGCAGGGCATGTAAATTATGCAAAAAACTGTGACTTATGGGGGAAAAAAAAGGTAATTGTAATTCTTCATTAGCAGAAAAAACTTTAGCCATATTCTTTAAATCAAACACATTTGTTTTGTTTTGTCACAAAAGTAGTTCAGATCTGTAAATTTAACACAATTAATTTAAGACACATGCTAAATAACATGCATTGGATTACCTGTGTCTTTCATTAGGAACTATATTATACATCAGAAACATTCTTGATAAGGTTAATGTAATTATTCAGTGATAGCATTCATATTGTATATTCGCATTAATGCTATTGTTCAATAGTTTGGTATGTGCAGAATTCAGAGCAGATAATTGAGCAATCCGACCCAGGGTTGAATGACTTTCATACCTTTGCTCTGGTGAGCAGCTCAGCGATGAGTCGTATTGATTCCAGATTGCGCTGAGCCAGCAGCAGCCTCCTCTCCTCCATGGCGATCTTCACCTGCAGCTTCTTCTGCTCCTGCTCCTGCTGTCTTCTCACCTTCTTTAGATTCTTCCTCTCCTCCTTCTCCCGCAGCTTCTGCTCTCGTTTACGCAGCCTCTCCTCCTTCTTCCTCTCCTTCTCCTCCTCTTCGTGTTCTTTCTGTTTTCTGGACAGGCGAGAAACCAAAAAAGACAGTTTCAGCACATTTTATTGTTCTGTTCCACTTACATGTACTAAAAAAATAAAAAAGAAATAATTAAATAAAATAAAAAAGAAGCTTGTCACAAATGCCAATTAAATCTTAAATAAAAGTAAAAAACATTCTGCATATAAAGATATTTAAAAAAGACATCAACGTTCATGCTCAATAATCCAGGTAAAGAATCCAACAATGTTCAGTCAGGTCATGTGGACGGTTTCTTTCTTTTTGTTTTGGTTGGTCCACTATAGGAGTGTACTGCTTAGTGGGGAAACAGTTTGTTTGTGACTCCTCAGAGTGAAGAAGCCCTTCGGATGAAGGGCGAAACGTTTCTCAAAAAAAAACAAAAAAAAAAAAAACTGTCCAGATGACCTGACTGAACATTGTTGGACATTAAAAATGATTTAATCACACTGACATTTTTAAAAATATAATAATTAGATAATTTACATGAGTCAACAATTTACAATCGTATATCTGCAAGGCGATAATGTATAACAATGCCATTAATATTAAGTTTTAAAAATTTGTCCTACTTTGAAGGAAGATACCAAACCACACTGCACCAACTACAGCAGCATGGCTTTAAAGTTTATGGACCAAAGTATTTAACTGTAATGACTACTGTCAATTTCTTCACACAAAAAGAAATATATTTAACTTTCAAAACTACAAAAACAATTCCCCCCCCCCATTTCTGAAAATATTGTCGTTTTCAAAAGTAATGCAACACAGTAATAAGCACGCTGGTCTTTTTTTCTTGCTTGTTTTTACAGAACCCATGCGTTTTTAATTTATTATGATTTTTAATCATTTTTGTTCCAGTATTTGACATGAGTCTGTACTATTTCTGTTTAAATATGAAAATTATGAAATTACATTTATGTTCTGCAAGGAAGTTGATGCAAAATTTTTCTGAAATAAAACATTTAAAATGTTTTATTTTTAATCTCTAGTACCATCTCCAACATTATTTTATGTGCAAATGAGTGCAATTATTCTATATCAAAATAAGTTGAAATATTTTGGTATATAATTTCCTGGAACTCTTTATCTTTTATAAAACTACCACACTGCTTCCATCATTGTACCTCTCCTCCTCCTTCCGTCGCTCCTCCTCTTCCTTTTCTCGTCGTTTCTGCTCCTCTCGCTGCTTCTCTAGCTCATGTAGCTTCTGCCTCTCCAGGGTTCTCTTCTTTATGGCTGCATCGCTAAGGTGCTTGCTGGTGTCAAAGGTCACCTAATAATAGTAATAATAATAATGGTTGTTGTTGATTAAAATAAATCAGTCAATCTTCAAGTTCAGTCAATAGCTGCTGTCATTTCATCAACGCTATATAGCAACAAAAATACCGTACAGTACCCAATATTTGAAACAAAAGTCATTACAAAGGCTCTCTTAATAGTTGTTCAGCACATTTAGATTATGTAGCTTTATTCTGTGAAGTAGACGACTTAGCTCTCCTCCCATTCATTACTTTGGAAACACTGATGATGCAGCTTCAGCTCTCATTGCCCTAAAAGCTCTTAAAGCTACTTTCAACTGACTAACACCATCACATTATTAATCTCAACTTACCTGCAATATCACTACATCAGCTGCAATTCAGAGTTCTAGCTCACAAAACAAGCTGTTAGAACACCGTTTCCTAATAGACAACACTCAACGTGATTTTAGCTTGGAGTAAAGGAGTCTACAGATCAAGCTATTTAAAGCTGAGATTAAAGAAACAAATGAGCTCTTTTTCAGGTTCTAAAAGCTATAAAATGCTTATGCCCTTGAGGCAAATGTAATATTTAGGCTTTTATATTGTGCCACTTTTGTATCAGTGTCTTAAGGTGTACACCTCTACATAGAAATACAGGCTAAAATAAAAACAAGCAAAACAAAAATGCTTAAAGTTCTTTGCTTGTAATGGCAGTTTTGGGTAAGTAAGGCAGCATATATGAATAAATAATTTATTATTAAACAAAGAAGTGCTTTTTAAAAATGTAACTGATTAAATCCACTAAAGTGTGTACAACTGATTACCTCCACTTCAAAATAAAAAAAACACTATAGTAAACATAAAATATCAAACGACTTTATCTAGAATTTAGAGAATTCTTGAAGTTCTCTACTTATATGCTTGGAGTAAAAATAAGTGGAAAAACTGAATGAGGAGAAAAATACAATTCAAGATACAAATCATTAAAAGATGTTTATATACATTTATAAATTCTTTGGTACCTTGATGTTGCATGCAACCGCCTTTCCATCATCTCCTTTCAGCATCAGCTTCATGCCACGCAGAGAGTCCATGGACTTAGTGAAGCCACAGTATTCCTGATACTGGACGTAAGCCTCAAAGTTCAAATGACCACCGAAGCTGAATGTATTGAAGTTTTTGTCAAGCATTTCCTCCCTGTATGGGTCCAGCATTGGAATGTCAACGTTACGCACCTAAAAACAAATATTAAACATCAAATTTTTATTAAAATGCCATGACATTAGTAATAATCTGAAAACAATACTGAAACATTTTTATTAGATAAAAAGTTAATGCAGATAAAAGAAACAGCGCATCTCTAAAACAGAACAACGGAGTGACTGGATGTGTGTAAAATACAATTCTATTTCTTTTTAAAAACATGTTGAGGTCAGCATTTTGAATATAGTAAAGCTGCAAAATATTAATGTTTCAAAGACAGCCTGCATGGTAGTGGTACAGTATATGCAGTAGAAGACAATTCTAGATGTTTTTTACAGAATTGTTGAACATTATGTACAATCAAAATTCAAGGCAGGACAAATAGTCAAAACAGGAACTCCATTCATTGCCTCTGTGGCCCTTTATCAGTAAGTATAAAGCATAAACTACCTTGCCAAATGTTTGAAACACAGCAGTGAGGACCTCTTCAGAGGGCCGATCAGGATACTGGCTATCTTTCTGGCTAAACCAGCGGCAGGGAAGTCCTTCCAGGTGGATGGTGTCGGGCCTCTCTCCTGGCAGAATCTCATTCATGTCCTTGGCATCCCGGAAAAAGGAGTCCCAGTCATGACGTGTGGGGAAATCCATTTTATTTTCTACTGCGCGAACCTAAGATAAAGACAGAAAAAGCTAATTGTTAATTATGCAGTTAGACCCAAGTTCAGGTAAAAGTGTTTTGTGAATATGTAAAACTCATTAATTTCTTTAAAATATGCTACCCATATTTGGGCAACATGAAGCTAACAGTGAGTCGCAGGTCATTTGAACACAAACTATAGTGAATAATCTAACTAAGAAGCATTAAAAGCAGCAACATTACCCATACAGCATAACTTAAAGCACATTTTGCAAGATTTACCTTCAGTACGTCAGTAAATCCACTGAGCTTTATGGTCTTTCCATCCAGTCGACTCAACAGGTTCTTGACCACAGTCTTGTTTTCCACTTCACCCTCAAAGCGAATGAAGTCTAAAGTGCTTTTGGAGATCCTCAGAGCTGAAAATTGGTCAGGAGCTACCATGGCCTTTATCCTCTCCATTACCTCCCAGTTGGAGATGCTCTTCCCTGGCAACTTGAGCTGCGGCAAAGCCACACTGACGGTCATTTTGGCAATGGGCTTCAGACAGAGGTTGTACTCCGCAGACAGGCACACTGCCTCTGATGTGTCATGAACGATGGTTGTCATTGTTGCAGACAGATACGAGCTACAAACCAAAAAACAAGTTTTCAGATTAAATGCAATGACTATCAATGTTAAGAATGCTCCAAATATTCACGTTTAAGATCTCAAAACGTATCCTGATGCATTGTTCAATATTGACTATTGTTCAATATCCCTCAGACTCAGGAAGTCTTTCGGATGAAAGACGAAACGTTTCTACAATAAAAAAAAAAAATAATAATAATGTCCAGAGGACCAGATTTAACTTTTTTTTAGATCTCAAAACGTACTTTTACAGGACACATGTCAAAATAAAACAATAATAATAATAATAATAATAAACCCAACACTGCATAATTATATAGATACAAAATCCTCATTTAAAGCTGAGCTGACATTCAGTTTATGCATGATGAAGTCATGAAAGGCTTTTGTTTCGTCAAACCTTTAAGCTTCTCAGCTAGTACACACAAATTTATCATAAGCGTCACGATACATTAAAGTTAAATACATAACAAGCTCTGACACAAGGTTACTTGCAAACAATGAATACTATTTAGCATAAAGCTAATCTTAAAATTAACACAAAGAAACTTGAAGGCCGAAAAATGTTCAACCAACCATGTAGCGAATAAAATACATTAATGAATAACGATTTAGTTTATTGATTGAGAATACGTTTGTCACTTGTAAAAACGGATCATTATTTGCAATAGAGTTGCTAGCTACATTAGCTTCGAATCGCTTTGTAACTTGGTTTATAGTACGTTTACGTTTATAAAACAGTTTGCTCACGTTAGATATAAAATATGTAACCACAACCTACCAAACATCAGTGAGACTCTTGCCCAAAAAAGCGTCAAGACATTGGAGCGAGCCAAACTCTGTAGAGTAAAAATATAGCCATACAAGCATAAAAATGCTACTACATGCTAGTTCAGAGAGTGACCTCTGACCTGACGCGGAACCAACGTGTTACGGCGCTGCAGCGGCGGAATTAAAAGACAGCGACACCACCTGGCACAGAGAAAGAAAACTTTTTCTCCAAAATAATGGTTCAGAGAAATTACTCAACACATGTAACAGTTTTCTAACTAGTCATAAACTAAACAATGGTCCCGAAATGACGCTGAGTGATGGGAATTATCCCTGAAAACAATAGGTGTATGTGCTAAAGAAATATCTAACATGATCGTAAAGAAACAAGATGAAAATACAGTTCCGTTAACTTATTATTTTTATATATGAATGTGCCCTTAGATGACTTCTGTTGTGACTTGGCGCTATATAAATGAACTGAAAGAATTGTTGGATGGCTAACTAGTAACAGTGAAACCACTAGGAGGGGACAAAAAACGCACCTCTGAAATGTAATAACTATTGTGGCACATAATCTAGTAACGTACAAAAGTTTTAAAGCACTCCCACTTCTTTATATTTTGCTGCAAAATACTTTTTTTCTAATATTTAAAGTGTCAACCAATGTCAACAAAAAAAAAAAAAAAAAAGAAAGAAAGATCTGCAGGAAGTTTAATATTTCTCATGACAATATCCTGATGCATGCTCAATAATCCAGGTAGAAAAATCTAAAAAAGTTGAATCTGGTCCTCTGGACATTCAAAAAAACAAAACAAAGCAAAACAACAAAAATATATATATTTTTTTTGTTGTTGTTGTTGTTTTGCTTTGTTTTGTTTTTTTGAATGTCCAGAGGACCAGATTTAACTTTTTTAGATTCTCATGACAATATTTAAAGAAAGTCTGTCTTCTTAGAAAAAAAAGAAAATATACAGTATTTCAAGACTTTTGAATAATGCTGTATGTTACACAAAATGTAGACAATAAATAGATAAACCTCAGCAAAAAAAGATGAAAAAATATGACAATTGGCTATTAGGTTCAAGTTCAAGGTTCTTCATTGTCATTCACACACAGGGTGTACACTACATGTACTAAGAGTTCAAAACCACTAATTATCACGTAAAACTTATGAAAAAGGGGTGCCAAATACATGTGACACAAATGGAAACGCAAAATATCCACAAGCTTCTACAAATAATAAACTACAAAATTGCAGAAAACAAAAAGCTTAATATAAAATCAGCTTACAATCATCAGCATTCTATGTTTTAAGGTTCCGTTTGTTTTAGCTATTTCATAAAGCATATTTAAAACATTTTTTTATTTGTATCAATATATGTTATGACTCTCTGTGAGTCATTTGCCACAAATAAAACATCAACTAAAAACAAACAAAACAAAAACACACTATTCATATTTGTTACTATGGCTTGATGTTTGTTGGTATTGCTGGTACACTGAGCATTTTATGAATATTATCATCACTGTGATAACTATGTTGTCTGAAAAGAAGAGAATGTGCTGGTAGTCCAACAAGACTTTGAGCAAAAGAAGTTGGCACAATTTCCCTGAAAAGATGGCAGAGGAATTTACATAACAGGCATTACTCCTCTCAGTGTGTATGTAGGTCAGTGGCTGCAGTCAGACAGCCTCTCTGTTTAGTCCTGATCAGCAGTCATCAAACAGGCAGGCTGCCTGAGGCAACTCTGGAAATAAAAAAAGGCTTATCGTGAATGACATGTCTTGTTGGATGAAATTTGTGCAACAAGACCAGAAGAGATCCAGTTTTAAAATGCTGAAAATGACTTTAGAATGTAGTCTCTGTTTGTTGATTTGATTGAGTAAAAGTGTAGAATAAATCCACTCAAATGTCATCAGATGTAAAATTATCTTTTTGATTTCAGCCATAGGGTAAAACTGCTGGAAATAAACCATAACCCTCTAATACTATCGGTTTCTGAATGCCAAGTCTCTCTTTAAACACGTTCCTATTTTCTCCTGTCTTAGGGCTGTCGAGTTCCAAATATGCAATAAAGAAATCAATTTTTTTATATTTGACATCCCATTATTATCAATAAATTAAAGTGCTTTGGAAATAAGATAAAGGAAATGATAGTCTCCCTAAAACAAGCTTTATGAGGATTTCGTAAAAGTACATAAGTACACCAACACAATCTGTGGGTGCAAAGTGAAAATTTTGTCTTGAGCCATGTTTAAACAGGAAGTTTGGGATTTACTGTAAATGCACCAAAGCTGGTTATTGGAGGTCATCAGACTGATTATTCAGCCCCACCAGATACAATCAAAGTCAGGAGGATCAGCAGATAATTTAGATCACATGGTCCGATACATCCAAATCAGAAATACACGTGTAACTTTTTTTTTTCATGTGTAACTTAATTTTTTTCTACTACAGAAAGCCTTTTAGACTGAAACATGCACCTATTTTGTCACAGACTTGTTAATTTATTAGTCTACACAGGTTAAGTTGCTGTGGCAGTAAAAGTTTAATTCACCGTTTACTTTCATGCACACAATTATTGCTTTATTTCACATGTAATATAAGGAAACAAAAGTCTCATGAACAATAATTACACAGTAAATTCACAATATTTCACAAACACTGACAAAGAAACTTTTGACAGCGCTTACATTTCATGCAGTTGAGAAAGTACAACGGTTTCATACATTTTTACATTTAAAGCGTTCATACAATTACACAAAGTCCTCTGATTTAAGTACAAATGCTACAGAACACAAAGGGAACATTCAGAAAGTCTAGGTTGAGATTTTAAGGTTCACATATTCAGGAAAACAAGTCAGGAAGTCCATCAGTGCTGCTCGGCTCAATATATAGAAGACTCTGGACATCCTATAATGTCAATATCAAAAATGATCAGTGATTTTAAATGTGCAAAGTTGGATATTTTAGAACTTACAGTCAGTATCACAAGCAGCTTTTCTTGAATATCCATATACTCTAAAATCAATGATCTGTATGATATCTACGATGTAAAATCAGCCGACACGACAAACTCATGTTGAGAGAAGCATATTTTACTGAAAACCGTCATGTTTAAAAAAAGAACAAGAAAAATAGCATTCGATAGAAGTGTGTAGCACCACAACAAAGGTGTGACCATACCAACAAAATGTCTGTCAGAAAACATGGACATTTTACTAAAAAAAAGAATTAAAAAAAAATTAAATAATAATAATAGAAATTGTGTTTTGTGTGCTACAACATTGTTAAACAACCTTATTGTGAAACTCAGTGCTCTAGAAAAAATAAAATTTCTCAAAATGTGTTTTTGTGGTCCATTTTCCGTGGCATCTATAGCTTAACATAGGTGAAAGGTTCAGGAAAGAAATCAATCTAAATAGTACTTTTAACTTCCACTAACTTTAAAGTGACAAGTGCAAACAAGTTGACTGTACCGGACTGATCCACATAAGAAAATGGAATCATTGTGCTACTTAGAAAATAAAACATTAGTTCATGTTACAGAAAATGACAATAAAAAATGTCAGCACCAGGAACTTGGGATGTAAAACCCGAACTCGATAAATATATCATTTTGCCAACAAAGGAAGTGGTTTGGAGTAAGAGTAAGGTGTCAAAGTGGCTCTGAAATGTAACGCCATGCTACTGTGAAAACTTCCTTCGTTGTTGCATGCTGGTGCTTCAGCAGGTGAACATCTTTCCACTACAAAATGTCTAATGGAATGTTTTAAGTGACTCCTGATCCATCAGGAAAAATTAACTAAATAAATAAAAATAAATTAAAAAAAGATGTTTTTTCGTGAATGTATCGTTACTGGAAATAAAATGCTACATGAACCGTGCCCTCTTTGTGAGAAACAAAAAATAACGACTGCATTAGGAACAAAATAAAAATACTTTAGGGAAAAAAAACAAAAAACCACCTTATACTTCTTGAAAACTTCTACAATATAAAATATTTCTGTCATCTCGGTTTTCTAATATTTGCATTGATCGATTTCTTCATGAAAATCTGACGTGTCAGATCATAAAAGGTAACCGTGTCTGGCTGACATCTCTACACAGCTGGTGTAACTTCATCCGAACAGGTTGGACAGTGGCCGAGTTCGGAGAGGACTCCTGGGGAGTTCCTCCCCCCTTCCCACCTCCCCCGTGTCCCTGAAGGAGGCGCTGTGAATGATCTGGGCTCGGTGGCGCCCGCGATGCAGCCGTGCGTTCAGCCGGCTCAGGGATGACTTCCTCTGCAAGCCCCCCTTGGTCTTCTCCGTCCCCTTTGAGTCCTCTGATGGGGAGTTCAGAAGTCGCAGTGGATTCAGGTTGCCCTGGAGGACTTTGGGCAGCTTCCAGCCCCACCCTCCATTGCTGCTGCTGCTCATGTTTTCAGCATCTGACCTGTGCCCTGGTGATAAAACCACGCCCTCTTTCTCCAGGTCAGCTGCCAGTGGTGGAGGCAGGTACTGGATGGCCCGCCTGCCGCTGTAATCTCGAGCTTCAGGGTCTGCTCCCCAGTCTGACAGCAGCACACGAACCACCTGCCAATCAAAGCACATCACATTCAAACATCAAACGCTCCAGTCTAAGTATAACCTGCGACTTAAAGGGAAGCTATAATACTTTTTCTATGTCAGTGTGTTCCTTTATCTGTAAGCAAAATATCTCAAACCATATCACTGGATGTATAAGTACATCTAAATAGATTTTAAAAAGTCAACCCAAATCAAGATGGCTGCCACAGTCAACTGAATGTAAAAAAAAAAAAAAAATGATTACATCTCAATCAAGGTCACAGATTTTGTGCTAAAGTATGTTGTGGTAGCAGCTGAGACTAATCCCTAACATATATTCTGAGTATTTATAAACTAGACAAGATTTTTTTTTTTTTTTTTTTTTTTTGCCATATTAAATTATATGGAGTCAATTGTGTGTTAGCAAAATATTTTACAAACCAAAGGTCAGATTTTAATTAAACTTTCAGGAACTATTTGTTGGATGTACATCTATAATTTGTTACGTTTTAGACATTTCAATCCAAACATGGCCTCGATGGCCAAATGACCTTCAAACACACAACAAGCTATAAATTCAGTCGATTTCACATATATCGTGTTAAAATTTAGTGTGATTGTAGCCGAGAGTTTTAATGGCTGAATAAATCTTTTACCAACTCGATAATGTGGATGATATTAAAAAGCTCATAACTATGTAGATCCTACTATTCTTGCCTCTTCTTGACACACTTTTCCCTTTCTGGGTGACAGGAAAGCTGGTGTTTACCTCCAGCAGTCGTGTGCAAGGCATATTAGACCCTAGACAGTTTGCAAGTACATCACAGAGCTACCATACAACTGATATTTGTTTAATAAAGTTAGTAAAATACCTAATCAAATACAAAAAAGCATTTTATCGTGTTTTTTTTTTAATGCTGACTTTATTTAGTTTCTGCACAACCTCATTATTCAAATACTAACTTTTAAATGTATTTAAATGGGAATCTTTCACTGCATTTTACTGACAAACCATGTTTATGTTGTCCAGTTTAATATTTTGTCAAAGATCTTGTGAATGTATTTAATATGACACCGAGTCTAAAACAAATTTCCCCTTAGGGACAGTATAATACATTGCATTGCATCTTATTGTAACTAATACTGTAGATCAATGCATTTTTCTAAGTTTTCTGCAAATATAAATTTGCTTTTACTTCTAAGTGACACAGGACTCAGAAGGAGTGCTGGCTATCATGTTTAGGTTCACTGAGTGAGTACAACATGACACCCCACTCCCTGAAACCCACCTGTGTGTGTCCATGCATGGCAGCCAGGTGTAGCGGTGTGTACCCAGCACCTGATCTCACGTTTACATTCACAGATACTGCATTCTCCTTGGCAAAGGCCAGCAGCTGGGAGAGCAGCTCAGCTTTGCCCTGCTTCGCTGCCCAGTGGAGGCAGGTGAAACCGGTTACAAAGTCTCTTTTGGCCACGAGACTCGGTTCGACAGTGAGCAGGGACTGCAGACTCTCCCACAGGCCGTCTGAGGCACACAGCATCCACTCGTGCTCCAGCGGGTCCAGGGTTACAGAGGTGCAGTCTTCATCAGTGGCTGAGGAGAGGAGGGATGCAGAGTCGCCGTCGCTCCTCACAGAGTCTCGGACACGTGGGCCACGGTTGATCAGAGACCTCCGAACCTAAAAACATGCAAGGAGTTGTCTTTATGTGTTCAGATCATTTCATTTAATTCATTTCCACGTGTCCTACCTGAGGAGAACTGCTCATCATCAGTTCTATGAAATTCCTGCGACTTCCTTTTGGCGTGTTTATTTCCCCGATAGCATCCAGTCCTTCCAGTGCGCTGTCTTCAGAGAGGCAGCTGGTCAGTATAGCCCGCTGGGACCCCTTAGACACCCTGCGTGCTCCTCTCACTGACTGGTTGTGAGATCCAGCAGAGCTGGGTTGATCCAGATCTTGTGTTGCAATAACTGGGGCTGACTCTCGCCTCCTTCTGTCCCTCAGCCTCACCTCTCCTCCTCCTCCTGCAGGAGTAGAAGCCACCGTGCTCGTCTTGGGCTGGGATGAGGGTTCAGGTTGCTCATTTTTATTTGAATGTTTGTCATTGTTGTCCAAGCTGGTCGGTGGTGGACTCTGTGCTCCTGCAGAAACATCAAACATCATTCTGTCATTGGTTTTAAAGCTATTTGTTGCAAAGTCTCAGGTATGGCAGTCATGGGACTTAGACTTCCACATGGTTTTCAGCTGATTCAGCACTGTTGACTGCAAACCCACATTATGGAATTGCATTTAATATATCCTGAAAACTACTAGCGTAAATTTTCAAACTGCACCAAATGATCAAGATAACGTTTTTTATGTTTGATTTCATATTTTGATATTCTTTATCTCAATGCAGTTTTGCTACTATAATCTAGAAATAAAGAGTCTAAACATGCTTAGTGGATTTTATTTTTAATATTGCACTTTTTTCTCAGCGATTTTGGGCATGAATAGGGTTGTTACCACTGGAAGTCGGCAAAGTTAAACAACTCATATGCCAAACCAAGAATAAATAAACAACCAGACATCCAAATACCAAATATGTCAACAATAGAAAGCACAGGATCCATGTTAATGAGGGAGCGCCTCACCTGTTTGGCCTGCTGTGTTCAAGGGGTTTCCGTTCACGTGCTCGTTGTCCAGCGTCTCCTGGATGTTGCCGTTGCACTCAGCCTCAGCGTGTCCGTCTGCCTCTGAACGCATCACCGACTCGGGGTTTAAACACACGAACTTAACACCGTTCTCCACCTCCACGAAGCCCACGCTGTCGACAATGCGCCCCAGCACCTTCCAGTCCACCCCTCCGTTTGACTGGTCATTACAACCGAGCAGTGACACGAAATGATCGATCAGCTCCATCTGTTGGACCCTCCCTCCTTTCTCTAACAGGAACGCCTGCACGGTTTCCTCCGTGCACTTAGACGCCATCTTCATCCCGAATCACGTAAAAATTACAACTATCTAAACTACCAGATTTTTAAAGAGAAGCCCACGGCCATGTTCATTCAATGTAAGGCAGCGGATGACAGCATCTTTTTCTCCGGCCTCCTCCTCCTCTCCTCCTCCTCTCCTCCATTGGAAAGCTCTGTGACCGACAGGGGTCGCACGCGAGTATTATAAAGAGTTATGTTGCATTCACGTGCCTCTCGGACACTCATACGTCTAACAACTGATGAACATTGATCACAGAATAAATTTAATACCACAAAATGTATTAAGCATACGATCCAAAAACTAGCCAAATATTGTCAGTGATTTACTTAAATTAGGTTTGTAACTAAGTAAAAATGTGTGAATCAAAGATTTTGCTCGAATATATAAAAAATAATAATAAAAAATTATCTGTATAATAACAGAAGAAAAGATCTAATGTTTCTGTTATATGATTAAAACAAGCCATATATTACACATTTTAAAGTATTTCTGTTAAAAATGAAAAACAATTGCTATGTTGTGTTGAACTCGAATTTAATGGATTTTTTTTTCTGATGGCATGGAACGTAACACAAGAACTGGGAGCGCCTGGGAAAATTACTTTAGACTGTACCAACTGTTTAAAAAGGGGTAATTGCGGTAATATTGAACACATATTACGATAGTAACTCACTAAAAGTTATAAACATTTAATCTAAAACATGTTTTATTAAAAGTACGCTTCAAAATAATTTTAGTTTTGACGGGTTTTTCCTGGTTTCTCATTATTTTTAATGGTCTCGTCTGCCCTGTTGTCGAACAGTAGAGCCAAAGGCAACCCTACTCTGAGAAAAGAAAAGTCGACCTTAGCAAGTTTTGTTGAAATACTCTTGAATTTATAAAGGTTATAAGCTGCCATTTAAAAGCATGGCCTCTTCGGAAGTTGCAAGGCACCCAGTAAGCTTTCCTTTTCTCTTGTTTTTTAAAAAATAATGTCTGTTCCTGACAGCTGAATAGGGAGTGTCCGCGAGGCTATCATGAAGTTAGCAACTTTAAAACAAAACTTTTTTTCAAGTTTTAGACAAAGACAATTTATTAGTCAATAGTGTTCTTTGAATTCGCGTGGATATACATATTTTGTTAACATGCGTACTTACATTTGAAAAAGTTTTATTTGTTACTTCTTTCATTAAGGATACCGGGAGAGAGTGCTAATTAGCTTGTTAGCACAACAGTATTTAGCTAGTTTACTTTATTAAATTAGTTGTACCAGAAGGAGAAAGACTGGCATGCAGCATTTAATGTCATGAACCGCGTTTAAGTACAAGTTAAATGTATACAGTTATGTATGTTGAGCCATCAATTTATTGAATGATGTTACAAGTTGAAACAAATGCTTGGGACACTTAAAAAAATGAGAACTTTATTGCAATAAATTGATTAGGTGTTTAACACTTATTATTGTTAATGTGTATATATAATAGGTTGTGCCACGTTTTTAGCTAATGCACTTTAGGAATAATTGTGTTGGCACAATTTATGCCTGTGAAACTGTTATTGTTGACAAGTTTCTGGCAGATTCAAGTAAGAAAAATGGTAACAATCTGCTTCCTTGTAACAGGCAGCTACAAGAGACATGCTCATCTGTATGCATGTTGATTCATGTATATTCTATGTGTTAAACGAAACAGAACTTCAGCAACTTAATTTTTTTTTTCCTGTGTCATTTATTCCAGGATAAAGGAGCTCGGCCCTTGTCTCTAGCCGGTCATGTAGGCTTTGATAGCCTTCCAGATCAGCTTGTCAACAAGTCCATCAGCCAGGGCTTCTGCTTCAATATTTTATGCATTGGTATGTTGTCATACACTTTACACAGATTTTTACTAAGATGCACACATTTTGTGACAACTATTTTCCTTATCTAACTTGCTGAACTGCGTACAAACACGTTCTTGTGTGTGATTTGCTATCTCATCTTAAAGCTATTTTGCACTGGATTTAATTACCATTATCATGTTGGCAGAATAATGTAAGAATGAATATAGGAGAAGAAGCTATAAATGTCTCATGTACTTTTAAAACGTCCTTAGAAGTTTGAGTCTGAGTAAAGTAAGACATATGAGCATGTTTGGTAAATCTTTTTAACTTCATGTTACAAATATCTATATTTTCATTTTGTAACTTTTGTTTTTCTTGTTCCAGGTGAGACAGGTATTGGGAAATCTACCTTGATGGACACTCTATTTAATACAAACTTTGAGAACTTTGAGTCATCCCACTTTGAACCTCAAGTGAAGCTGCGGGCTCAAACTTATGACCTGCAAGAGAGTAATGTCAGGCTACGCCTCACTGTGGTCAACACTGTTGGCTTTGGAGACCAAATGAACAAGCAAGAAAGGTGTGACTTAAGATCTGTGTGAGCCAGTGTGTTATTTCTAATGTGTGGCAGTTAATGACCTAAAGAGAGTTTGAGAGAACTGTGATGCTTGTTATTAAGAGTAAATTTATTTTTAGGTGTACTCACATTATATGATTTTTACTTATAGATACCTAATGACTGACCGGCATTATATTTATGTCCTTTAGCTATCAGCCGGTGGTGGACTACATTGACAAGCAGTTTGAGAGTTATCTTCAGGAGGAGCTAAAAATCAAGCGCTCTCTGCATAACTACCATGACTCACGAGTCCATGCCTGCCTTTACTTCATCTCCCCATCAGGTCACTCACTTAAATCCCTGGATTTGGTTACAATGAAGAAACTTGACAGTAAGGTGAGCGATAAGCCACATTGTCTGTGTTGACAGGAAGTGTTCACATTTAGATTATTTTACTGAAGAACCCAAGTTCCTAAATATAATAATCGCAATAGATTTCAAAGATCACTTTTGTTTTTTATCAGTGTGCTTTCACTCATTTGGCTAGATGATATTTAACCCCAACCATTAAGTAAAAGAAGCAAACAATAATGAACCTTAATGTGCAAGTTAAGAATAACTTTCTTCATTCAACCTGTATTTAGACAGGTAAATCCCATTGAGCCTCAAGGACTCATTTACAAGAGAGACCTGAACTTGACTTACAACTTATAACTATATCATATATTAACAACAAAGTCCATGCTCAATAATCCAGGTATACAATCCAACATTTTTCAGTCGGGTCATCTGGACAGTTTCTTTCTTTTTTTTTTTTTGTGCTGAAACGTTTTGCCTTCGGTCCGGAAGGCTTCATCAGTCAAGGAAACACACAACAAAACTGATTCTTTCCCCAAAGTGGGAAGCTTACTCCAAAGTGGAACAAACCAGTTTTGCTTGTGATAAGATGGTCTCTTTGGTACACTCCCTCCTCCATTGCCGGCCCTCTTCCTTGTTGACAGTTGTGCCAAACTGGTTGAAAACAACAAAGTCCATGCTCAATAATCCAGGTATACAACTATTCAGGTATAATCCAGGTATATCAACTATTGTATCAAGCATCAAACCTATAGCCAAAAATGGAATGATGAAGCATACAAGTTTGAACATTATTGATTTGATCTTAAGTAGTGGAGAAAGCTGTACATTTTGTTTATTTCACTTTAATTTTGCTACATTTCTTTTTCAGCAAAATATTAATGGGTTATACTTTCCTACAGTCAGTACTGACAAAACTAAGACACTGAAAATATTTTATGAATAATCCAAGGATCAGTCTAGTAAAACTACCACACATATTGGCATAGAAAAACAATTTATTTTATACCAGCTCATAATTTGTCTTCTGCTGCCACAGATCCAACCATAATTCAAATTTAATAAAATTACACATCATATCACTTGTCATTCAGAAATTCATTGTTTCTGCTTCAGAACACTCGGAGCAAGAAAGATAATTGATATTGAAGCTGCAGGCAAATGCTGCCTCACTTTATTTTACTTAATGTTGGTATTGGCTGTGGTAGACTTAATCAATACCTTTTGTGCTCTGAATAAATAGGAAAGTGTTTTGTCTGTTTGTCAGTAGATGGCATGTAAAAAACTTAAAATCAGTAAGAATACAATTAAAGGTCTGGATCTATAAGTCTGTAACAATTTGAGTAAAATGACTGCCGTAGTCATCTTTAGAACCAAACATGATTTAATAGAAGAGAAAAAAAACAAGAATTGTGGAAAACTAAAGACACTTTGCTGTCAAATAAAGGAATTACAACCAAGGTGTCAAAAACATTACATAAAAACAGTTGAAACTGTTGTGTGTGTGTGTGTGTGTGTGTGTGCGCGTGCGCGCGCGCGCGCGTGTGTGTGTGTTAGTGAGAGGCTTGGATTTAGTGTATTAGAAGCAATGCTGTGGTGGTTTTAATGTGTTTGTGGCTGTACTACAACCCCCATTCCTCTAAAAGTGGTCAGAAACTTTCCCATGCTCTTTGTGTGTCGTAACTTGTGTTTTGTGTGTTTGCGCAGTATAGCTGCTCTTGAGTGGCGGTAACATTGTATTTGCGTGTGAAAAGAGGAGAAAGAGCAAAGGAATTCTGCAATCACCTCACGCACACGCACTCAAGTTGTCCTTTTGTGCCACTGTACAGATACTCTTGGAAAGATCCAATTGTTGAGGCTGCAGCAGTGAGCGACAGTCACTCACTCCGACAGCTGTTGGAACAGATCTCCTAGCATCTTTTTGTTTTCTCTGTTGGGATCAGTGTGTGTTCAGCATGTGTGCACGGCTGTGTGGTCTGGCCCAGAAACTTGCCCAGTGGCAACAACCCATTCCAAGCCCCTCTGTGTTACAGCAAAATGACAGAAAGGAATGTGGGACGAGTTTGGCACCGGATTGAACTGCACAGCCAGAAATAACATTTGAGACTTGATTTATATAAGTCCTATCTAAAAACGGGTTGGAAAGCAATTTTAGATATAGAAAGAAAACAAATGCAACTCAAGTCTTGTTTGTGATTACATTTTTTATTTAAACAGTACTGTGCCAAAGTTTTGAATCACTTCGGAAATCTTATACTTTGCTTAAAAAATATCTAGACTTTTTGCAATATTTTATATTGCTCTTTTTTATTGTTACAAACTGTTCTTAAACAGGAGGTTAATTTGTAGATTTTTGCACTACATCTTTAGCTGTTTTAGTGTGTAATTATATTAACCAAAATAAAGTTGTGTTAGAAACCACAATGTAAGAGTCTTACATTGTTACAGTTTTATATTTTTTTCAGTTTGTAAAGTATTTTTTAATTAACTTAATGGAATGGTTTATCTCAACCCTGCAGATATTTCTATTGAATATTAACAGAAAACAGAAAGTGCTGTTTATCACAAACATGCTCTCCTTTCTCGATGCAGGTAAACATCATCCCAGTCATCGCCAAGGCCGACACAATCAGTAAGAGTGAGCTGCACAAGTTCAAGATCAAAATCATGAGTGAGCTGGTCAGCAATGGTGTGCAGATCTACCAGTTCCCGCTGGACGATGAGACCGTGGCTAAGGTCAACACTACTATGAATGTAAGGATCTGCACATCCCAATTTACCAGAATCCAGGAGTATGTTCAGCTTTCTCAGATATTCAGTGGTGTACTTGTTAAATATTGATTCAACAGAGTTATGTTCACATGAACTCAAGTTTAGAATTAAATGTGAATTTCTCTTAGGATGCAAAAAATGTAAATCTGCAAACATATTGAGCATTTTTTATGTTGTATGTGGAAAAATTATGATTGAACTGTAAGGGAGGAAGTATATACTGCAACTGTGGATGCTTTAAATAGTTTTATTGTCTAAAATATACCCAATTTTTTTTTATTTATATAATTGTAACTTTTTTTTTACAGGGTCATCTTCCTTTTGCTGTAGTAGGGAGCACAGAGGAAGTTAGTGTTGGCAACAAGATGGTGAAAGCTCGTCAGTATCCATGGGGCATTGTCCAAGGTATCAGTCTGTTTGTACATACTGTATACCAGAACCAGATCACACATGTCTACCATAAAAACAAGCAGAAGTCTGTTAGTGTGGTTCTTAATAATTTAAGATGGTTAAAACTTTAACATCTGAATTTGTCTCGTCCGTCAGTGGAGAACGAGCACCACTGCGACTTTGTGAAGCTGAGGGAGATGCTCATTTGTGTAAACATGGAGGACCTGAGAGAGCAAACCCACTCTCGTCACTATGAGCTTTACAGACGCTGCAAACTGGAGGAAATGGGATTCAAGGACACTGACTCGGAGTGTAAACCTGTCAGGTGAACTGTCTACACACCAGCACCTGTATCTACTGAAAGCTTCCTGCTCACTGACATACACGTTTATGTGTACGTGTGTCCACAGTTTACAGCAGACATATGAGGCCAAGCGACAGGAGTTTTTGGCAGAACTGCAGAAGAGAGAAGATGAGATGAGACAAATCTTTGTGCAGAGGGTGAAGGAGAAGGAGTCAGAGCTGAAGGAAGCTGAGAGGGAGGTATGTGAAATCTACAATCCTGGGTAAAAGTGCCAGAATTTCTTGGACGAGTAAAATATAATTCCACTCGATACACTTTGTGTACACTTTTGTAGAGAGGCATTCACTAACCTCATCTTATACACTCATATTTCCAGATTAATAAATGGATAAATTGTGTAGCGCATATTTTCTTGTATTAAAACATTTTGTTCTTCCTAAATAAACGTGTTTTAGAGTGAACAAGACTTGGTTTAGTGATAATTGGTGCTGTGGGCTGTTGTTGTTTTAGCTGCAGGGTCGTTTTGAGCAGCTGAAGCGCCTGCATGCAGAACAGAAATCAGCTCTGGAGGAAAAGAAGAGGCTTCTGGAGGAGGACCAGAGTTCTTTCATGAAGAGACGGGCCGCAGCTCAACTCCTGCAGGCCCAGAGCCTCACCGTCAACGGCAAGAAAGACAAGGACCGCAAGAAGTAAACAGCTCTGCTTATGTTTTCTGGATAGGCTCATCATGCTCCACAAATGTTGCAAGGGTGAAAAAATATCTAGATTCATGGGGTTAATGCACACCTTGATATGATGCCATATTTAGAAAAAATTAATATGAGCCACAAAATGACATTTCAATTGATCAATTCATCTGTTTTTCTCTCTCTCTCTTTAGTTCTGGCTTCATGTGAAGGCTTGAATCTGAAAAACCATTTACCAGTATAACCAGTGGCATTCTGTCCACCTCTTCATCTGGTCTCCAACACTAACAAGACACACAAATGCATCGCGTGTGAGCTCCATTTGCCAAAGTTTAAAGACTCTTTCCAAAAACCCCATGTATACCTTCCTCCACTGTATTTTATCCTTTATTGTAGCAGTTTTGTTGTATCAGTTTTTATATTTATCCTCATTGTTTATGTAAAACCTTCAATTTGTTTGTGACTTCTGTTTTTAATCTTTTGCTGAGAGGAAACCTCACACATCCCATTCACTAGAGGTTTACGAATCACACGAGACTGGTACAAATGTCGCAGTGGGGTTGACTTGTTCACTGGTTTACGCTGCCATGTTCTTTTGATCGCTCTTTAACTTCACACTAAAGCCTTTTCAGACTCGGAGAACGTTACCAACTTCACCACTTACACGTCAAAATCTGAATTCTAACATTTTTAGTGTTCTAACTACACTGAATTTAAGATTTTTAAATTAAAGACGGTTATTGACACTATAGAAGCAGTAAGATGTGTTCTTGTTTTATTTAAATAAAGGAAGCAAAATGTCATTTATTCAGTGATTCTTGTAAAGTTATAGAGGTTACTGTTGTGTGGTAAGCCTACATCCAAAACCACCTGGAAACCACAGTAACCAGGCAATCAGTCTTTGAATACGTTCAAACATATCAAGCAAACACTCGAGTAACGTTAACAACCTGTGGCTGAATTTGTCTACCACTTGAAATCTTTAAAATGTTTGTTTGAAATGGGTTTCAAATGCATTTGTTGTGTTTTATGAAAGTTGCTTGATAAGAATTGTTCACAGTTCAAGGGCATTACAGTTCTTCATTGCTTCTCTGACGTTTGTACAAAAACTTGCAGAAGATGCTCCCGTGGACTCATTTCTCTACTTTGTATATCTTCATTACATTTACAGTAAAACAGCCTTATTGGATTGGCCTAATTTGGGATTAGGAGCATATTACAGAAAATATTTATATAGATATTTGTTTCCCTCCCTTAGATTTTTCCTACTGACCCAGAGAATATTTCCAGTCTTTGTCAGGAAAGAGGAGGATTATTGCTGAACTATGCATTATATTGTATATTTTTAGGGAACAAACGGAACAGGAGAATTTCTGTGTAACTTTGTGCATATTTGTATTCACTTTTTTCTGTACTGTAAAACTACAAGGTGTAAATCAAAACACTGGTGCTGGTTTCTGAAAACGTGGTTTAAAAGCCAACATTAACTCTATTTTACTGACGCTTTGTTCTGACTCTAGTGTTTAAAAATGTTAGGGCTTTGTCCGCATGCAACTTGACGTATCGTCGCCTCCAGGAGAAGGGCTCGCCCAAGACACATTTTTACTACACTTGTTTTTAAGGAATAAACAGTATTATTTGAGAGCTTTGTTTTTCCTTTTTAAATAAATCTTTGTATTTTTGCCATGAGGTGATGTGCCCGTCTAGTTATTCAAAATAAAGCTTAAACTGCACTGTTGTAATGAAAAAAATTTGTTTACATGCCATAGTAGTTACCGTATTTTGTGGCGTATAAGTCGCACCATTTTGCATACATTTGCTGATTTGACCATTAAAGTGCATTTATTAAGGATAAGTTCAACTGAGGCACACTTTTACTATAATTTCGAGCAAACATAATTGTTTTAAGTGTTAATCTTGTTAAAGTCCTTCTGTGCACGCTCCCATGGCTTCCATTTGGCAGCCAATCGATTTTTGGCACCGGCCCACGTTTCCAGGTCAGCGGTAACGCATAATAGATCCCACTTATATAGCGAAGCAACCTTTTTTTTTTTCCACTTCATTAGCAATATTTGGACTGATGCGACTTATAAGTTGGTGCAACGTGTACGGCAGTAAGTACGATATTTTAGCTTTAACTTTTGTCAATAGTGTCTCCAATATTTTAAAGTTGCGCTTTATTTTATGTTGAAAGTTGTCGGCCAATAGCTGTTTGGGTATCTCCACTAAATTTTTTCTTAAAATCTAAATTAGCTTTTTTTTTGTCAGCGGGCGATATACTCAGACCTACTCATTGAAGACTTCACAACACAAGTGAAGACCATGAGTTCAGTTTTTGTCATTAAGAAGACAGTTTGTTGCATAAAATAATATATTGTTTGTCCCAAAGGATGGAAAAAATGTGTTGCTGGCTTCCAAATGTGTTTTTAAGCTGCCTTATCTCACATTCAAATCTATTTAGAGGTGATGTAATTCAATTAAAATAGAAAACACCTCATTGCAGTCATTTGACTGCCTGTATTTCCTGTATTTGGTTTTCCCTTTTGTTCAGTTTTAAACCTTTCCTGCCCACCTCTTGAGCACACGCACACTCACAGAGACTGCTGTAGGTTTTTGTACCCTGCAGAGTCTCACCCTCCAGCTCTATTGCCCTTCAAGTGACTTAAACGCCGGCACGCAGACAGGTGGACAGACGGGTTTTGGCTTAAAGCCGAGGAGCGCTGATTGATTCCCTGCAGGAGCCTGCAGCACCTTGCTATTATTATTATTAGACAGGGAAGAGGACACCCAGAGGAGAACCATTTCTCTGAGGCAAAACACAGATAAAGCATGTTTGTGTGTGAGCGTACACGTTCAGCTACTCTGGGTGATTTCACCAAAACCCATGGAGAAGTTGAACACTATCTCAGGATTTCAGAAATAAAATAAAAAACAGGACGCATGTTCACTTCAAATATAGCTGTTTGGGTGTTAAAAGTGGAGTTTTTGTGAATGGGTGTAAATCCAATAGCTGTCACACGTTTGCACGCACACACATATTCCCATAACACACACCCTCCTCACCACCTTTTGCCAGTCACTCTAAATGCAAATGCAGACGATCATCAGACAGGCCTGACTTCTGGTGAGATGAGGTTGTCATTTAGGGGGGTGTGCGGGCGACGCTCTGGAATTACCAATTACACACCTCTTCCATGTCAGTGTTTGGCTGGAGAGCTAAGAGGATGATGAGAATGGAGGAGGATAAAGGAGAGGGGAGAAGATGCCAGCAGGGATGAAAACAGACATCCATCACCAAAATGTCTGCAGCAATGAAACAATAACACTCAGTAAGTACAACTAGATCAAGAGCGCTGCTCATAACGCTTCATAAGCTCCTAATGAGCACGCTGAGAGTGAAGATGATTATAATTAGAGCAGGATATGGCTTCCAGGTTGAAACCTCTATGGGACCAAATCCAAATGGGCTTTACAGGTAATGTGTTTGTTTTTGTATCAGGTCACATGAATGCGTTTCACTTCTTACCATTTTGTGCTTCACTGGTCTTTGAAAGCACAAACGCACACACGAAAGACAATTTATTTTAAAACAAAAGGCATTTATTGCGAAAAATGCACTTGACATGAAAAAAACAATCATATCAACCACGGGTCATCGGTACAAGACGATGTATAATGATCACATGGTAGAGAGCGCTGGACGCAGCCAGCCCAGAGCATGATTTCCATGGCACAAAAGGCCTATAAATATTCTGCACAATATGTCTATATATATATATATATTCTCTTTTTTTGACCTCTGTTTCACTCAACTCAGCCCTGATGAGGAATGAGCATCGATGCTGCACCAAGTGTTTCATAAAGTTTCTTATTTTGTGTGTAAAGAGCTACATACAGACAGTTCTCTTCCTCATTCAAGAACTCGCACACTCAAGTATCCATAAGAACAAATATGGCTGACATTTATTTCAAAATGGCAAAGTGAGGGCTCAGGCTTCCTGGAAGATGGACTGACAAATAGTTTCTGCCAGAACGAGACAGAAAATGCAAACATTTTGACCTCAAGCAGCCCAACTGTGTAATTAATTATAAGTCCAGTTCAAATTTGAGCTTTAAACCAGTATCCAATGGCATTTTATCATAATTTCAACCTTTTTTTTAAGTGATATTTATTCAACCAGGAAGCTGAGGCCAATGACAAACTTAGGTCATGTAATTAAAAAGACATAAAAAAAAACATTTATATTTTTTAAACTGGCGCTTCAAGTTATTTGATCTAAAGTGACCACTGTGCAGTGGTTTTATTCCTGACATTTTGACTGTTGTAAACGTTTTTCTTTAAATTACCCAGAACATCAACCCCATTTAAAAAAGGAACTTGAAACCAGCTGATCTTCAACACAAACTTGAACTTATGTTTAAATTAGACAATATAAAATTGAGTTCTTGGTCAAAGAGGGCCTAGAAACAGAATAAAGAAGAATAAATTCTGCTCAGGGTGGTGCAGAGCTGTTCTGGGATCTGCTGGTATTTGTCATCGGGCCTAAAATAATTGGGTGGACTGAAAAACAGTCAGCAGGCTTATTGTACTGACGTGTAAAAATAATAATAAAAAGCATAGTGGGGAAAAAGGGACCTATTCTATCTGAATTAAACTGTGTTGACATTTGTAGGCACTAAGGTTCGACTGACAGGTTTTAAAGGCCAATGAGGATACAGTATGTTTAGCCTAAAATTCCCAATAACTAATATCCAAAATCCTACACTGAAAATCAGTTTTGCTAATTCCAAAAGAACAAAGTAGCACTTTAAGTTCAATGAACCAAAACGCCTCACAGAAACTCATTCATATTCAGATTTTAAAAATAGATTATAACACTGAAAGTGTTAAAAAAAAACCCAGCTGTCACTCACATTTATGTGATTTTAATGGAAAATCCTCATTTTTTTGTGAGCTCTGACCTGCAGCAGGAAAAAAAAAAAAAAAATCCAAATTGAAGAATGTTTTTGGTTTCCTGTTTCTCTTTTTTACATCCCAGGAGATTATTTAATAAGACAGGTCATTTCCCCTAGTCCAGAGAGAACATCTATACAAATCATTTCCTCTGGTTTGCTTTTACTGTGCTTTATTATAGACCGCACCACTTTTATTATCTGTTCTACCATTTTTTCTCCTGTTCTGTGCTTGTTGTCTGAATAATTTGATGTCACTAATTCTCCAATTTAATCAATTCACAGAAGCTGGTGAAATGCACCAGAACAGATTTTAGGAATAACTAGCTGTGATTTTTTTGGGTCATCTTTCTAATGTGATATAAATGCAGAAAACCAAGAAGATTCAAACTACAATCAAGTTTCAGCTAATTAGTGTGCTTTTCTTATTCTTTGATGTGCACATTTCTGTTTAGCTGTTTGTGCTTCATTTTAAATAATAATAAAAAAAAAGTTTTGTTTTTTTAGCTAATCTTCTGCATTGCTGTGCTTTTGTCTTCTGTAAACTAGACTGGATTCAAGGCCCAAGATCAAAAACTGAACAACAGGCATCCACATTTTCAAACATTGACTTATGTTTCTTCCACCCAAAGAGGTCAATATTTCTTTTATGATATTTGTACAGACAAAAAAATAAAAATACAAAATAGAAAACACAACATTTTTGTTAGCAACCATTAAGATAGCAAGTATTTACCAGTAATTCATTTGTTGGTTTGTTTAGAAATGTTCATCTTTCATGCTAAATAAAAACTTGGATCTCTCATTTTGTCCCAGTAGTTTGTGCCTGTTCACAGAAAAATCATATTAAAACTGGAAAATCAGAAACCAGCAGCATTAAAAAAGGGTACCACTTTACAATAAGGCTCCCCTTATAGATGGCTAATAAATAGTTTATTAGATAAGTTAATAATTCATCTATAAACACTTTATAAATCATTAATAACTGCTTAATTATGCATTAATTAATATTGTACATATTCTATTGCACTTTATCACTGCATTATCTACAACTAATATTATATCCTAAAAAAAAATAAGTTTGCAAATGCTTATTGTGCTTACAAGGTAGTAACTTACCATACCACTTTATTTATAGAGCACTTAAAACAGCCACAAGGCCAACCAAAGTGCTGTACAGTAGAACAAACAAGCAAAGCACACAGCAAAACATAAAATAAATACAAATAAAAATATAGATACGACTGGAAGAAGATAACTAAATGGCTAACATTATAAAATACGGACAGGTTAAAAACAAATCATACAGTGTCAAAAGCCAGGGAATAAAAGTGTTTTTTTTAAGTGAGACTTAAAAACAGTGAGAGCAGGAACCTGCCTGGCATGCAGTGGTAACTCATTCTACAGTCTTGGACCAGCAACAGGGAAGGCCCTGTCACCTCTGACCTTACGACGGGTTCCTGGAACCAATAGGAGCATCTGATTCACTGACCTCAGAGAGCTCTGTGGGACATATGCAGATCAGTGAGATAAGAGGGGGCAGAACTGTTCAGTGATGTAAAAACATACAAAAGGATTCTGAACTGATTTTGATAGTGAACTGGGAGCAGGGAGGCCAAAACTGGTGTAATGTGCTCTCTTCTGCCTGTACCGGTTAAAAGTCGGGTTGCAGCATTTTGGACCAGTTGTGCAATGGAAGTCTGACTGATTCCAAACAGAAGTACACTGCAGTAATCAAGCCTGGATGTTATGAACGTATGATTTATTTTCTCAAGATTATTTTTGGACAGTATGGGCTTCAGTTTAGATAGTCGCCACAGCTGAAACCCCCCCCCCCCAAGATTTAACAATCATGTTAACATGATAGTTTCATAGAAGGGTCCATTATCACTCCAAGATTTGTGACTCTTTTTTTGTTTCTCTAATGAGGCTAGATAGGAGAGATCGATACTGTGGTTCTTGATCATGCCATTAGGAGGAAACAACAACTTCAGTCTTTTCTCATTAAAGCTTAAGAACTTTAAAGACATCCAGTCCCTGATGTCAGCCAGGCAATCAAGAAGAGGTTGAATAGAATGTGCACTGGTGTGCTTCAGAGGGAAGTAGATTTGACAGTCATCAGCGTAGAAATGAAAGGGTATGTTAAATGTACAGAAAATAGCACCTAGTGGCAGCAGGTATAAAGAAAAGAGAAGAGGACCGAGGATGGACCCCTGCGGTACCTCCCACAGAAGAGTTGGGTCTTGGTCTGAAATGTTTAATTTAACAACTCTATTAAATATATAGGTGGCAGATTTGGCTCAGTATTTGGCAATAAACTGGTCAGTTTTGTCTCTCAGTCACACTTAATTGATGCATAATAAACAATTATTACTGATTTATAAAGTGTTTTTTTGAGGAATTAATAACACATCTATAAACTATTTATTAGCCATCTATAAGGGGAGCCTTATTGTAAAGTGGTGCCAAAAAAGTCCTTTGACATGTTTTGAATACTGTATTTGCAGATTTAGAAGCAGGTTGTAACAAACATTACTAAGTGCATTTGTTTTGTGTCCAATCTCATACTAGAATTCCAAAAATAACTACAGTATATGAAAAAATCTGTAAATTTTGGTGTGACTTTCTGCTTCTGTTTACATTCAACAAGCCAGTGAATTCAGTTTAATCAAGGATCGTATGAAAGTCAAACTTAGTAAAAGTTAAACACGTTCGATATGTAAGACATACATATTAAAAAATAAAGAATGACCTAAGACAGACATTTTTAAATTAAATTTCTTTTCTGGTGACAGATCATCACAGTAGGACAACACTAACACCTATTACAACATATTAAAAAAACATAATAATGCTACATGCAATAACATACACGAGGGCTGAAACGAAACATTTGCTCGTTGTCACATTGTAGACGAGGAGATGTGCTTCCAAAATAATCCAGGACTTGGAGGCTCACACACTTTCCTCATCCCCTGACTGTAAATGTTCACTTCTCTGATACAAAGCACCTGGATTCAAGTTCTGAGGTCTCAGTGGAGGGAAAAAAAAACGTCAAAAAACAAACAGAGCAGATCGTTTTTGTGCTAGTGTGTTTGCTGGTGGATGGCGCCCAGGAGGAGAACTGGGAGGCGTGGCTCATCGTTCTGAGTCTGTGCCTTCAGTAGTCGGTGTTGTGGCTTTGAAACGTGAGCGATTGGGAAACCCCACTCTGCTTACTGAAGCTGGAACTAGCTTTCCCATAAAGTAAAAAAATATATGCGAGCTTGTGTGTACATCAGTGGGACTAATACGGATTTCCAACGTACAATTTACCAAAAATAATGTTTTGTGGTTGCACCAAAACTTTAGTACAGCTTGACATAATAACTACAGGGAAAATAATCTGATAAGACCAACATGTGACGCTACAACCTTAATCACAACTAAGGTGGGGTATTGTGTAACATAAATATTTATATTAGGGATGCACGATATTGGATTTTTGGCTGATATCCGATATGCCAATATGTTAAAACTTATTTGTCCGATAACCAATACCAATATTTTTTTCCATAGACCTGCTTAAAGATGCTACATAGCTATTTATGCTATTGAATTAAAATACTACATTATTTTGCATGGTCTTTGTCAGTTTGGCCTGCTACCAAATGCAGATGCCAAAAAGGGGGCTAAAAATGATGCAACACTTCAACTTGAATTTCGCTTAATGTCAAATTTATTCATGATATTTACTCTCTCTAACGCAATGATAACACTCGAAAAGTCATACAAAAACAGTGCCATATATCTATATCTTTCTATCTATACGTATACGTATATATATATACATATATATATATATACAGTATATACAGTACAACACACACAACAGAGTTCCATGATTTGTAAATGTCATAACTGCTATATTTTATTCATAATGGAAATAATGGAACATAGTAAATATATAAAATGTTGAATATACAAAATTCTAGAATTTTGTTGGAAAACTAAGGTAATTTTGATTTTTAGAGCAGTGGCTAATCTAAAAAAATGTTCGGTCAGGGCCAACAAAGGTTAGTGGTGCAACCAAGAAACAGCTGTAGGAATATTTTGCAACAAATTAGGTTAATATGCAACAAGTCAGTAAAAATACTGGTTATGAAAAAGCTTTTTAAAGAGGATGAATTGCTCAGAAGTCAAGATGGGCACAGGTTTGCTCGTCTGCAAAAATATTGTGTCTAAAAATAGTGTAACGATTTGAGAATAATGTTCCTTAATGGGACACTGTGAACACTTTCAATATCCCATCTTCAACAGTTTATGATATCGTCAAAAGATTTCAAGAATCTGGAGAAATCTGAGCTTGAAGAACAAAGCTGAAAGTCATGATTGGATGCCTGTGAGCTTCAGGACCTCAGGGGCCACCGTATTAGAAAGAGGCCAGATTCTGTTAAGGACATCATTGCATGGGCTCAGGAACACTTCTACAAATCATTATAAACAGCTCACTGTTCCATCCACAAATTGTGGTTAAAGCTCTATCATGCAAACAAACCCATGTGTGAACACCATCCAGAAATGTGTCTGTCTACTGCGGACCAAGGCTCATTTAAAATAAACTGAAGCCAAGTTGAAAACTGTTCTGTAGTCTGCTGAATTGAAATTTGGCATGTGCTTTGAAAACCACGTCCTCTATAATAAAGAGGAGATGGACCATCCAGCCTGTTATTAGGACACTGTTCAAAAGCCTGCCTCTCTGATGGTATAGGGGTGCATTATTGGTTATGGTATGGGCAGCTTACACATCTGTAAAAGCATAATCAATGTAGAAAATTGCATACAGGTTTTAGAACAACATATGCTCCTTAACAGTGAAGAAGTCCCAGGACTGTGGAACAGCTAGAATCCTACATCAGACAAGAATGGGACCACATTCTCCTCCAGAAACTCCAGCAGCTGCTCTCCTAAATGTCTATAGTCTGTTTTTAAAAGAAGACAGGGTGCTGCAGTGGTAAGTATGGCCCTGCCACAACTTTTAGAGATGTGTTGCTATCAAATTCAAAATTATGTTTTTATTTTCTAAAAAAAGAAAAGAAAAAAGAAATGTATTTTTAATTTTCAACATTTGATATGTTTGCTATGTTCCACTGTCAAGAAAATATGAGGTTATGAGATTTGCAAGTCATTGCATTACACAATGTCCCACTTTTTTCAAAATCAAGGTTGCACATTTTTCACTGAAGTCCACTAAAATAAGGTTTTTTTTGAAGGGTTAGCAGCTTTTAAGGCAGGTTTTAAAATGAATTTATAGTGTGATAAATCTTTATTTGAGCAAAGAAAAGAACAACTATTGGAAACCCATATTAGCTTAACCTTATTGCAGGTGTTGCACATGTTTGTGTAGCTTGTGTTTGAGTGACTCAGAAATGGGGAAAAAGCTTTTTTCTTCTTGCTCAAAAGCTCTCAACAAAACTGCCAGGAAACAAACCCGTCTGACCCGTCCTCTGCAGGGTGCCTTTGTACCAACCATCCTCCCTTTTCTTATGAACAAACACCACGTCCCCTTCCCGTAGTTCGATCTCAGCCTCACTTTGAGGAGGGTAAGGTACAACCACACGAAACCTGACGAACAGAAAAAGACATAAAAGCTGGTCAGTGGCATCTTTACCTTCATGCCCCAAACATCATATCTAGAAATTTTATTTGAGCAGATTTTAATGTTTTGTTTCAGCTTCGAGCTACAACAAAATCTGTTGTAACTAGAGTTTAAATCCTTGTTATAATTCCTGATTAAAACAACACACATTTGTCTAATCTTCACTGAAAAGGGATCTGATTCAGAATCAGAATGCTTTTATTGTCATTGCACAAGAAGCACAACAACATTTCATTTCCGTACAGCCCGTCCAAAGAAACAAAAAGACAACCAAACAACATAAGACATGGGTAGACGGGTGCCTGAGGCTGCAGCCATCATGGGAGGCGCTGCCCTTTTCGTTAGATAAGGAAAAGGGAAACACGAGGAAAGAGGAGGTTAAAAACATACAAAAAAATCATATCTCACACTCTGTCCCTAACAGGACACAGTGTGAAGTTGCAATAAAAACCTTAGCACAAAAAAGCAACACACAGATGATATAATACAAACAGCACAGGACAGTGAGCAGAAGCAGGGCAGATAGGGGGAAGAGTGGGAGGGGAAAAAGTGTCCGCCTTCACCGAGAGCAGGAAGAATTCATGGTTGATTTACGTATATGCCGTGGGTCTGAGGTAAAGTCATAACTCTAAAGTGGACATTTCAGCTTTCATTGAATCGGCTGCACTTTGAGATGCACACGTGGACACAGCCCTGCAATCAATTTTTACTCCTCCTCCACACGGTCAGAAATTTACCAATGTATCGGTTACACATTTGATTCCTTTCTCCGCTCGCCTCTCAGGCACAAACAGCGCTAACCAAGTGACTGTCAGTCTGGCAGCTCACCGCTGACAGTAATGATGCATGTTACTGTTAAATGCTTCGTTCCTCCTTCATGTCTTGAGACAAAACTGAAGGATGCAAATGACTTTTCTTGTTTTTCTCCAGGGGGATTAAATCTGTGTTTGAGGGCAAAAAATAGATCTATAAAGACAAAGTAAGCAATGCATCACATTTAAAATAAATGTTTTATTATACTCATATTATCAGTGAGGTCTTTAAAAGCCTTGAAAAATCACAGTTCTTTATTGAAAACCATCATGTCCAGGAAACCACAGTGCAATGTTCACTCAGCAGTAGTGATTAATTGCTCATGAAAGAACCTCTGGGTGGTTCTGACTCTGTTTTCATTCACTTTCTGCTGTAGATTTTGTTATGACTGACTCCCCCTGGACCACGTTAGATCCTGTGGTTGAATTCCTCTAACTCCAAAACCCACAAACTTGTCAGAAAATATTTCCTGTTATTTGAGTTTTAAATGGCGTTCACCTTGCTTGAATTATTCATTGCAATGCTGGCACTGTGTCTGTGTGTAAAGTTTGGACCCACCTCTCTCTTGACAAGGGTTTGGGTTCAGGCTGGAGGACCAGAAGAGCACTGCCTGCTCGTGTAGCCGGGGGCGACATTGGGAAGTTTGTGTCCAGGGATCCGGACTTCCTGTGCAGAGGCTCCAGCCCTATCGCCCCCGACATGTCGCTCTCGATTGGACAGGAGCCGGCCCGGCCCTGCGACGCCATTGGACAAGAGCCGGAGCGACCGTGGTGGTGATGATAGTGAGGACGGTGGGTTGGATCGTTGGGTCCGGCGCCTGGGCCAGCCAGCGAGGGGCCGTGGGTGGGTGGTGAGGATGGGGGAGAGCGAGGTTTCCTTTTGGCTGCGGCCCCTGACAACAGCTTCAGCAAACCTGCAGCTTTTCTCTCCTTTTGAGGCTGGAGGGATGTAAACAAACATGTAGATAAGTAGAATTAAAACCCTTCTAACAACTGAAAATTTCTTACAGTAGAAAACACAATAAAATTAATAAAATCTAGACCCTTTTTCACTTTAAAGTTAAAACATCTGAGGGATTATTAAAATGTCAGGGTTCAAAGTGACTTCAGTGTGTTTTAAACAGCAGTATAACTGAGTGATGTGGACAGAGATCTATTTCTCTACATGCTGAAGTGGCTGTATTTACTAAAGACAAAGTGTTTCTTTAAAGCACCTGTTAAAGCAGATTGATGCTTTTCAATTCAGGCATTTTTTTTATGTGTGGTGTTTTTGAAAAGAGGCCATAAAATCCTACCCATTCAGTCAAACTCTGGCAGCTCAATGGGATTTTACGTTTTCAATCATGACAATGTGGATCAATATGGAGCATGCTGGAATGTGTGGAGCTACATCGCTTTCACAGAAACTTCATTGTGTTTCCTTTTCTACTCAAACTGCAGGGTCAAGCAGCACATGGCGGATCTTTAGAAATGGAGAGAAATATGTGACACTTCAATGAACTTTTTCTTAAAATTCATTTATAAATGTAAAAGCAATGATTTATAAAACCATCTGAGATCCGAGTGTCACATCTCCAATCCACAGCAAAAACAACCCTCATGTGAATCTTATAAAAAAAAAAAATAATAATTACAACAGGAGCAACAAGTGCAAAGTTTTTATTTTATATTGTAAAATTTTGCTTTTGTTTCTGGTAAAAAACAAACAAAAAAACTAACAAACTGTATTTTTGTTAAACTAAAGCGCTCCATTTCAACATTTTTTTCCCTAATTCTCTTATTGACACAGACACAAGTGCTCAACAAGGCACTCACCCAAACACTTTGACTTCACTTTACCTTTTAATACAGAGATTTTAGTATTTCCTCCCTGTAGTTTTTTTCTAAAATATGTTATTACTCACTATTTGCATTATACATAGTTGTTTTAAGCACACTATGGCGTGGTGTTAAAACATGCCCTCAGATTTTCTTCCTGCAGTTGAAACAGGAAAAATGAAGTAAAAAAGATGGGTTATGTTTTTGGGGCAGAGAAGAAGAAAGCAAAAGGTGAACATTGAAAAGAAGAAGAGAAGAAGTGGTGTAGGCAAAAAGAGAGAAAGAAGGATGAGGATTGAAAATGGCACAAAAAGTGTATAATCACTGCCTTCCTTCTTTTATCTGCAGGCTTAAAGGCTTAATCTGCCTCCTGTGAGTCTGTGTCTAATCAGTCTGTTGATGTTGTTCTTTATTTCACCACCAGAGGGCAGCAGCCGCTCACCTTTAAGTTTGACCCAGAGCGCAAGTTCAGGCTCATTTTGCATCATCTGTTTGTGTGTTTGTGTTTTGTTTTTGATTTTTACCCAACATGCAAAAACATTAAAAACTACATGCACATGATAAACTCTGTGCAAAAATTTCTCCCTGGATAGGGCAGCTTTTAACTCAATCAGGAGACTTTTAAAGAGCAAAAATAAAATAAATTGCATGCATGAAATGCAGCAAAGGGTGAACGACTTTAAGTTTGTATTGTTAAAGAAAACCAAGCATAAAAACACATTAAAACTCTAAGATAAAGTTGCAAGTTCCGCATTTGCAAATAATAGGTATAATATGAGGAAAAGAGCACAAATGCAACAAAACAGCACACAAACGAGTTCAAACAGAATCCAAGGCCTTAAAATCCCAACTCAAGTTATTCAATATGTTTATTGGCATTTTAAAACTTTTTCTGGTCTTGATGACATCTCATAAGCACTCCTTACAGCTTTTTCTTGGCAGCTCCAGAGGTAGTGCAGACGTTTTGGAAACTAGCATGCAGCATAACTCTGTGTCCACACCAGTATGATCTGTAACACCAGCTGTGCTCCAGACAGTGTGTCAAACACAGATTAACCCAGTGTGAGTCAGCATAGCTGCTTTGTCATTTCCTCTGTAACACTATGTGACTGAGTGAGGCCACGTTCCCTTCCTAACTTCAGAATTGATGTTTCTGCTGTCTTCGGCTTGAAGCAATAAAGACTTGCTGAAAATAAGGGACTAGACTAAATACTTATTAAATGAAAAGCCTTGCATTAATTGAAAGAAGAATGCATATCACTTGCCATCATTCATGTTCAAGTTTTAAACTTAGATCAGCTTATATTGGGGAATGATGGAGTCATTTGGTCAAAGTTTGAAAATAACTCATGATATTGTTCAGAATATAACTGCTCTTTGAAGTGACTAAGTGTATTTAGGATTAATTTATTAGGATTCTTAGGTTATTAGGATTCTCTTTTAACAAGAAAAATGAAAAGATTTAAGAGATGAGTTTTTGTCAGAACTTTAACATCTGTGATGGGGTAGAGGTTGGACAGCTGACTTGATCATTCAGCTGATCCAGCCAGGCTGTCATGTTTGCAGATGATAATGGTTGGATGCATCACAAACAATAATGAGTCCAGCTACAGGCAGGAGGTGGAACACCTGGAGAGCTGGTACAGGAAAAACAACCTCCACATCAATTGGAAGAAGATGAAGGAGATGATTGTGGATGTCAGAAGGAACAATCCCCCTCCTCCGAATATAGGAGGATCTGTGGTGGAAGTGGTCTCCAGCTGCAAGCACTTGGGTGTACACCTGAATGACAACCTCAGCTGGGGCAACAACACCACCAGCCTGATCAAGAAGCACATCAGTGACTCTTCTTCCTCAGGTGGCTGAGACGAGCTGCTCTGGGAAGCTCAGTCCTCACCTCCTTCTACAGGTGTGCAGTGGAGAGCATCCTGTCCTCCAACATCAACATGTGGCATGGAGGCTGCACAGCTGCAGAAAGAAAATCTTTGCAGAGAGTGGTGAAAGCTGCACAGAAGACTGTTGGAGTCAGCCTCCCCACTATCACAGACATCTATACCTCCAGATGTAGGAAGAGAGCCACCTGCATCACGAAGGACCCACTCACCCAGCACACACACTTTTTGACCTGCTCCCCTCAGGCAGGAGGTTAATGAGCATTAAGTGTAGAACCACTAGACTGAGGAACAGCTTCTACCCTGAGGCTGTTAGACTCATGAATTCCTAACCCGAGTAACCACTGTAATGCCACTTTAACTGGTGATATGTCACTTTATCTGTGCTGCTGATTATCCATGCTGATGATTTCTTGCCTTTAAGCTGCTGTATTTATACCCATCTGCTCACAACAGGCTCAAGTTCAAGCTGCTGTTTAATACACCATATTATATTATATCACATTATTATTGTTTAGCGCACATCTGACATCCTTGTATACAGTTTATTTTATTATATTTTATATTTGTTCTATTTTTGTGTGTAACTGGGACCTGGAGTAAACACTTTTGTTCCACCTCATGTACCGCATGTGATGCGAACGACAATAAAAAAACCTTGAACCTTGACTTGGGACCAGAAAGTTGTGGTTCCACTCCCTGCCGTTCCCACGTCATTGTGTCCCTGAGCAAGACCTAATCCCTAATTGGTCCATGGGTGCTTACATAGCTGCCCAGTGATCCACCTGGGTGTATCTCACATGTGATGGGTTAAATGCAGACAACTGATTTTGTCATTGTACGGGAACATAAAATGACGACAACATGTAGCACTTTACTTTACCTTATAAGGTCTGACCAGGAAGTTAAAATGTTCCATCTCAACCAACGTTATAAATCACATTTTAAAAACAGCTAATATCTTGCTGGATGTTTTTTGTAACAAGATCAATATGCAAGATCCAGTCCTGAATGTGGCTTTTACAATGTAAGTTAAAACCATCTACAGTATGAACAAAGCTTCTGTCTGCTGTTCAACAGCCAGTGAGCTGTTTGTCAGCCAGCCATGGAGTTAGATTAGTTGTTCCAGACTCCGAGGCCAACAGTGAAACAAATGGAGCTGAGACAAATGCAAGCTTTCTGTGCCATCTTTCACTGTTGGTGCAGGATGGCTCATTGAGCAGCTGCGCCAGATCCCTGGGCGAACGACACTCGCGAAGGCAGATGAAGTACATGCACACGTTCACATATATACATTTGAGATTTTAGACCCACAAGATGACAGTTTTTTTTTTTAAAACTTGTTAAATCATAAAAGGGAAGTTTTTAAATGAAAATAAAAATATCTGGAGTCCAGAACAATCAAAGCAGCCCACTGTACGCTTTCCTTGAACTTATTATCTGTGCTCACTGGCGTAAATATTCTGAAAAGAAGGATTTCAGGCTGATTTAAAGTCCAGAACAAAACAGTAATTAAAAGAGAAGTTTAGCTATTTTCCCTAATGAAAAACAAGTACTGGTATTATTCTGTTACATATGGTGGCAGGCAGGCTTACATCTGAAACAGGTACTTGAATAGATAATTGGGTTATGAATCCATCCATCCATCCATCCATCCATCCATCCATCCATCCATCCATC